CTTGACATTACCCATGGACTTGACATTACCCACGGATTTGACATTGCTCATGGATTTGACATTACCCATGGACTTTACATTACCCATGGACCTGACATTACCCATGGACTTGACATTACCTATGGACTTGACATTACCCATGGACTTGACATTACCCATGGACTCGACATTACCCATGGACTTGACATTGCCCATGAACTTGACATCACCCACGGACTTTACATTGCCCATGGAATTGACATTGCCCATGGACTTGACGTCACCCATGGACTTTACATTACCCATGGACTTAACATTACCCATGGACTTGACATTGCCCATGGACTTGACGTCACCCATGGACTTGACATTACCCATGGACCTGACATTACCCATGGACTTGACATTACCCATGGACTTGACATCACCCATGGATTTGACATTGCCCATGGATTTGACATTACCCATGGGCTTGACATTGTCCATGGACTTTACATTACCCATGGACTTGACATTACCCATGGACTTGACATTACCCATGGATTTGACATTACCCATGGATTTTACATTGCCCATGGACTTTACATTACCCATGGACTTGACATTACCCATGGACGTGATATTACCCATGGGCTTGACATTGCCCATGGACTTTACATTACCCATGGACTTGACATTACCCATGGACGTGATATTACCCATAGACTGGACATTGTCCTTAGACTAACATTACCCATACACATTGTGCTGTACTCGTAACGAATTGGCATGTTTTCTATACGTAACAACCCCATACAAACTGGGCTGTGTCAGGTAGTGGCGGGCTTAACGACACATTTAGATATTGACGCGATCTAACCCAAAAACACCTCTATTACAGACAGGGATTGTTGTGTACCCATGCAGGGTTAGCATAACCGATCTACAGACAACGTCTCACGCGAAATGTATTGTCAGGGGGGGCGCCTCCGCCATCCAACAGGAGCTTTGGGCAGGAGACGTGGAATCAGGTGAGACACGAGAGGAAGGGACTCACGTCGGGCGAGGATGGAGCCCCAACCCAGGTGAGAACAGAGACTCGCCAGCGGGGGATTGGGTCGGGTAGCACCAGTTTTATTTTGGGGATGGGGGGGGGGCTGAGCCCACTTGTAGACTGAGCCACGCGCGTCACTGCTCAGGCTCCGCCGGGCGGGAGAGGGGGGAAAGCTCCACGCTCCAAGCACTCCCCCCCCCCCCCGCCGGCCTCCGCGGATAACCTATGAGCCACCGCCGCCGCCGCTCCCAGTGCTGTAACATTACAAAAACACGCGCCCACACTCGCCATCGTAATCATCGTCATCATTAGTAACGCGTATTCTCTTACTTGTAAAATATAACTTAAAAAAAACGAGTTTTTCACGCCTGCGCTGGCCAGCGGTGAGTGGGGCCCCCTGACCCCTGCTCCCCCTCCCGCGGCGAGGACCCCCGGTCCGCTGGCCGAGTGGGGGTCGTGGGGGGCGGACGACACCAGGAGCGGTTGGGGGGGAGGGGGGGGGCGTTCGGAGTGCCGCACGCGCTGGAGATGGCGCCGCCACGAAGCCAGGACCGCGCGTGTTCGCTTACCCCCCCCCCGACCCCCCCCCCCCCAAGCGTGGGGCCGCATGGTTCTCATGGCCGAGACCTCATGGACCTCAGGGCCCTCGTGGACCAGGGTTCAGGACTCTTGAGACTAAAACCTCTGGAACAGGTGCATGGAGCCAGGATCTGTGACTCATCGAGCTCAGAACCAGCTTTCATCGAGCTTAGGACCCGGGTCCGGGACTCTTGGAGCACAAGACCTTGAGACTAAAAACTCTGGAACAGGTGCATGGAGCCAGGATCAGGGACTCGAGGTGACCTCAGGACCACGGTTCAGGAGAATTATGAAGCTCACGATTCTGCAATCTGATACTTCTGAAACAGGTCGATGGACCCAAGGCCCCTGAACTCTTGAAACCCAGCACCAAGACCTGCAACTATGTCACTCGGATTGTCAAATCCAGACGAGAGCCTAAGATCGGAGAGGCCCAGACTCGGGAAGCAGATATCCAAAAAGAGCCCAGGGTCCACAAATCCACACACTCCACGGGACAGCATCGCTGGCTCTGTGCTGCACCAAACACTGCAGGGTTGGCGTCTGCGTTTAATCCCTTTATGCATCTCCGTTTATCCCCTTGTGTGCCCTCCCCGTACCCCCCCCCCCCGTGTGTCCCCATGTCAGGGTTGTCATCGCCTTTGTGCTCTATAACCATGGTGCTGATTGTCGGAGCCCACAAATAAATACAGAAGTGTCGCGTCGCGCCGCTGGAGCGAGATCGTCGCCTCCCCCATTACCGCCACCGTCCCCATCAGCATCATCATCATAATCACCACCACCACCATCTCCACCGTCTCCATCAACATCATCATCTCCATAATCACCACCACCACCATCTCCATCATCATCATCATCTCCATAATCAGCACCACCACCACCACCATCCCCATCAGCATCATCATCATCTCCATAATCAACACCACCACCACCTCCACCATACCATCGGCATCATCATCTCCATAATCAACACCACCACCATCTCCACCATCTCCATCATCATCGTTTCCAATAATCAACACCACCACCATCTCCATCAGCATCATCTCCATAATCGACACCACCACCACCATCATCACTATGAGCTCCGCTATCCACTCAGCTTCTGCCATCTCTACCAACTGATACACCACCCGCAGCATCGTTGCCACCACCACCACCACCACCACAGTCACCACCACCACCACAGTCACCACCACCACCACAGTCACCACCGGTACCGCCATCAGCACCGCTGTGGCCACTAACGCCACCAGCGGGGTGTCCCACCGTCAGCACCGAGACCGCCATCACCGTCAACCACAGTCAGCGCCATGGGGAGAGGAGGGGGTTGGGGAGGTATTTCCCCCCCCAATTTGTCAGACTGACGGGGAAGGGGGGTGGGGGTGGCAAAACAATACTTCTTCAGCCCCCCACTAAAATTCCCTGCAGCCGGGGAGGGTGGCGGAGTGGTTAGCGCACTGCACTGTGAATTCGGCCACCCGAGTCACATTCCCGGCCACAGCCAACACCAGTGTCACCGAGTGAGATGTGAACCGGTCCTGGGCACCCCCTCTCGCCCAACCCCGTCACCATCTCCCCGACCCTCCCCCCCACCGCCACCTTCAGCCAACCGGCACTGACCAGCGCGGTGAAGTATGGTCAAACAACCCCCCCCCCCATGACCGAGACAACGACGGGGGGAGGGCCCTCATCCGGCAGTGAATTGGGCAATGCCTGCCAAAAATCAACGTAACGTTTACAGCGAAAAACAAATCATTATGTATATGGTTGAGTAACAATACGGTGTACATTCGTTAGCTTTGACACGGTAGCACACGGGGGGGGGGGGGGGGTTGCAGCCGCCGGGGCCCCGGTGGAGTCGCGGCTCACACCACAACCCCACGGCTACAGCGCCGCCAGCACCCCCCACCCCCCCCCCGGCACTGAGGGGACCGCTCCCCTCCACACCGCCGCACCTCGCCGAGAGACGACCCCGCGTCGCTTCAGCCCCTGCCTCTGTCCCTGCTCCCCCTCCCCCCCACCATTCACCCCCTCCCCCACCCATGTCCATCCCCATGCCGCAAAGTGATTTTCAGCACCCCCCCTCCCCCCCAACTTGTCAAACAGTGGGGCCATGCACACGGTCGGCACCGCCATCAGCGTCGACACCATCGCTATCAGCACTGGCACCATCGCCATCAGCACTGGCACCATCGCCATCAGCACTGGCACCATCGCCATCAGCACTGGCACCATCGCCATCAGCACTGGCACCATCGCCATCAGCGTCGGCACCATCGCCATCAGCACTGGCACCATCGCTATGAGCGTCGACACCATCGCCATCAGCGTCGACACCATCGCTATCAGCACTGACACCATCGCCATCAGCGTCGACACCATCGCTATCAGCATCGACACCATCGCTATCAGCATCGGCACCATCGCTATCAGCATCGACACCATCGCTATCAGCATCGGCACCATCGCTATCAGCATTGACACCATCGCCATCAGCACTGGCACCATTGCTATGAGCGTCGGCACCATCGCCATCAGCGTCGACACCATCGCCATCAGCGTCGACACCATCGCCATCAGCGTCGGCACCATCGCCATCAGCGTCGGCACCATCGCCATCAGCGTCGGCACCATCGCCATCAGCACTGGCACCATCGCCATCAGCACTGGCACCATCGCCATCAGCACTGGCACCATCGCTATCAGCACTGGCACCATCGCTATCAGCATCGACACCATCGCTATCAGCATCGGCACCATCGCCATCAGCGTCGACACCATCGCTATCAGCACTGGCACCATCGCCATCAGCGTCGACACCATCGCTATCAGCACTGACACCATCGCCATCAGCACTGGCACCATCGCTATGAGCGTCGGTACCATCGCCATCAGCGTCGGCACCATCGCCATCAGCACTGACACCATCGCCATCAGCGTCGGCACCATCGCCATCAGCGTCGGCACCATCGCCATCAGCGAAGAGACCATCGCTATCAGCGTCGACACCATCGCCATCAGCACTGACACCATCGCTATCAGCATGGACACCATCACTATCACCATCAGTATTTGGAAAAATGAACATCAGCACCAGCGCACGCCTGCACGCACGACGCCCTCTGACCTCTTGACCCCCTGCCCTAATTATTTTCTCTCCGCTTTCTGTAACCTCAAGTGACCCCCCCCGCCTCACCCCCCACTTCCCCCCCCCCCGCTCCACGAGCGACCCACACCAGGCGAGCGGGTGGACATCACGAGTGTCCGCGGGGGGGGGGTGGGGCGGTCATGTGCGAGGGGCGATAGTTCACGGGAGGGGGTAAGCGAATTAAGTGGAGCGTGCACGCTCATGGCTCTCATAATTCGTGTTGCTGCTGTTGTCACCCGTCCTCTGGGTGTGTGCGTGCGTGTGTCACGGTGTGACCGTGACACTGGGTGTCCGCGTGTGTTTGTTCTGCGGAAGTGTAGCTGGTTATCGCGCTGGGTCACAAACACGGCCACTTCGATCTCGGCTCACGACCAATTGATGGTGGCGAATGTTTAAACCGGTCCCTGGGCCTGCCCTAGGTAGGCCTCAGCCTGAAATGAGTCGCTGGTGCGGTGCGTAAAAACATCGGCACTGGGCAGACAAAGGCGGCCGGGCGTGGTGCTGGCCACCCACCCCCATGCATGCGACGTGCCGGCCTTCACAGGCGCTCGCTAACAGCACTTGCCCCAGCGCGGGAGGCTTCAACCGGACCGTGCTTGCGTGCGTGGCCGCTCCCTTGCCTGGAGTAGACCCCAAATGCGTTGGCCGCGGCCGGTTGGGGTGACGCTCGCGTGCCCGGTGTACGTCGGTGACTCTGGGAGTGTCGCTCGGTGCGACGGCGGCGTGCGTGGTCGGCCGCGTGAGTGTGTGGGTAGGGCATTGCCGACTGCGCGTGCGTGCGTGGGAAGTTGTGGCCGGGGTGTGCCCCGGTGTGGCGGTGGAGGGTTGCCAGGGCGGGCGGGCGGGCGGGCGCTCATTCGTCGTCGCACGCCACCGCGTTGAGGCCTCCCTCCGCGTGCACGGCCAGGTCGATGGGGGGTCGGGGGCCGCGGTGTGGGGGGGCGCCCCCCCCCGCCACGGCCTCGTTGGCGAGGACGACGTTCCTCATGCAGCCGCGGAGCCCTGACGAGAAGTGGCCCCCCGTGAGGGTCTCCGTGTCCGGGGCACCTCCTGCCACACCACCCACACCACCACGACACCACCACCACCATCACCCACACCACCACCACCACCACCCACCACCACACCACCACCCACACCACCATCACACCACCCCCACACCACCACCACGACACCACCACCACCACCACACCACCACCACCCCCACACCACCACCACCACGACACCACCACCCACACCACCACCACGACACCACCACCACCACACCACCCCCACACCACCACCACGACACCACCACCACCACACCACCACCACCACCACACCACCCACACACCACCACCCACACCACCCCCACACCACCACCACCCGACACACACGGACAAAGACAAAGGTAAAGATCCCCCATGTAGACTTAAAAATGGGGGGGGGGGTGGTGACAGCGGCAGTGGTGAGAGGGGCAGCAGTGGTGAGAGGGGCAGCAGCTGTGGGGTTACCCAGGAAGACGCTGCCCTTGACGTCGGCCTTGAGCATCGTGCCGCCCGACTGCCCCCGCACGGGGGCGCCGTGGTCGACGCGCAGCCAGCCCAGACGGCCCTCCCTGCCGCACAGACAAAGACAAAGGTCCCCCGTGTAGACTTCCATAGACTGTTGGGGCAAGTGCTGTTAGCGAGCAGCACCTATGAAGGCCGGCACCACGCCCGGCCGCCTTTGTCTTCCCAGTGGCGATGTTTACACACCGCACCGCGTACTCATTTGAGGCTGAGTTGACCTAGCGCAGGCACGGGGCAAATTGAGATATTTACCACGTGATGGTGATGATGATGGTTGTGATGGTGGTATGAGTGATGGTACTGATGGCGGTGATGTGGGGTGATGTCGGTGGTGGTGATGATGATGATGTTGGCTGTGATGGTGGTGTGGGTGATGGTAGCAGTGGTGGTCACGTGGACGTGTGGGGTTTGGTGTGGGTGGCATTGGTGGCACTCGTTACACACCAAGCGCTCGCCACAAATGACCCACAGTACCTCCGCTGATCTCGTCAAGAAGCTTAAACCATCATCACGTGACACTCCGGTCATCCTCGCAGCAGCGGCTTCTGGCGAACCATCGAACAAAGACGGTGGTCACCGCATCGCGCGGCGCTTTCAGATGCGCTTCTGCGGCCGTCTGGAACGCTCTTCCTTCAGATATTAGGAAGCCACTGGGAGCTGTGTGCACGTTTAAATCATCATCATCTAGATTGACAAACTCACTTCTTGAGAACTGATTTTTGTGGCGAGTTTGTTGTCCTTCCCCGCACTTCCGATTAACGCGGTTGGCTACGTATGGTGCAAAAGAACTTCAACATACGGTGTGGGTGACATGGACGTGTGGGTTGTGGTGTGGGTGGCGGTGGTGGTGGCGGTGTGGGTGACATGGACGTGTGGGTTGTGGTGTGGGTGGCGGTGGTGGTGGCGGTGTGGGTGACATGGACGTGTGGGTTGTGGTGTGGGTGGTGGTGGCGGTGTGGGTGACATGGACGTGTGGGTGGTGGTGTGGGTGGCGGTGGTGGTGGCGGTGTGGGTGACATGGACGTGTGGGTGGTGGTGTGGGTGGCGGTGGTGGTGGCGGTGTGGGTGACATGAACGTGTGGGTGGTGGTGTGGGTGGCGGTGTGGGTGACATGGACGTGTGGGTGGTGGTGTGGGTGGTGGTGGTGTGGGTCTAACCTCACGGCCGTCACGTTGTGCCACCGCCCATCGTTGATCTTCGTTCGTGACGTGATGCTCGCCTCTCCGCTGCCCAGCTGGTAGCTGTGGACAAAACAAAGACAAAGATCCCCCGATCAAATAATCGTCACTGGTGGTGGCCATGAGCGGGAATCGAACTTGGGTCGCCAGGTTTGTAGCGCAGGGGGCTAATCACTACACTACCGCTCCCCACACACACACACACATGCACGCACACACGCACACACACACGAACGCCGCGCCACCACGCGTGCCACCGTGCCGACAACATAAACCCAATTCTCCACCGCGCAACCGCGCCGGGGCCGGGCCGCGCCGGTACGGGACCGTTTTTCCACCGCACAAACCGAGCCACGCCGCTGACGTCACGGGCGTTGAGCGAGCGGAGACGCGCTGATTATTTACCTGAACACCAGGCGTCCGTCCCTGAGGCCAAGACTCACAAAGTCCTTCCCCTTGCCGTTCTCTCCTGCCTCCTGCACACACGCACACGCGCCCACACACGCACACGTGCATACGCGCGTACAAACATGCACACATGACCGTGCACGCACGTACACACGGACACACACGTGCACACGCACACCCACACGTACATGCGCGCACGCAGCCACGCGTTCGCACATGCGCACACACGCACGCTCACCCACACGCACACACATACACACACGCACGCACACGGTATTGAGTGAGACGTCAGGAGTTCAGGGTTAGAGATTGGGGGTTACCATTCACGGTGCTTCGGGATTTAACGTTCGATTGCTCCCGAGGCTAGGAGTTATAAAGTACGTCCTGGGTAAGAGGTCAAATTGTAAGTGTTAAGGGTTTCCGAAATTCCTGGTTTAGGGATCAGGGGTTAAAGGTTAGGGATTAGACATGCTCTAAAAGTTCATGGTCAGGGTTTAGAACACTTCCTGGGTTAGTGGTCAGGGGTCAGAGGTTAGAGTGCTTCCCAATTCAGAGGTCAGCATTTGGTGTTTTCTGGGTATGGGGTCAAGGGTTAAGAGTCAGGGGTTACGCAGCTTCGTGTCTCTGAGGCTGCGGGGTTAGGGGTCAGAGTGCTTCAGGATTAGCGGCCGCCGGTTAGGGGGTGAGAGTTCTTCCTGAGTTAGGGTTCAAGGGGGTTGGAGCGGGGGAGGGTGGTGGGCGGTGTTACCTCGCGCTTGGCGAGCCGCGTGCGTTCCCCGACCTCGTTTGCTGCCTAGAGGTGAGAGGTGAAAGGGCAGAGCGGCGGGCGGGCAGGGCGGGGAGCAAGCGGCAGAGTGAGCGCACGACGCGGCTGAGCTCGCATGCACGCAGCGCGGGCGGCGCGGGCAAGCGGCGCGGGCGGGGCAAGCGGCAAGCGGCAACCGAGCGCCAGCAGCGGTCCGTGGCAAGCGCTGGTGTGGCGGGCGCGGTGTGGGAGCGGTGTGGGCGAGGTGAGAGAGCCATGAGAGGGCCGTGCGAGGGAGAGAGCCGTGCGATGGAGTCATATGACAGAGGATGAGGTGGAGAGAGAAGAGGCGGAGGTGATATGCGTGATGTGAGTGAGAGCGGGAGGTGAGGTGAGAGGTGAGGAGGGTGATGGTGTACTGTCGGCACTCACCACTCCCTGCCAGACGAGCAGCCCCTCCGGGGAGAGCGTCTTCACCTCCAGCTGCATGGTCTCCGGGTGTTTGTGCATGCTGAGGCCACACACAAAGACAAAGGTGCACCGTGTAGTCTTAACAGACTGTTCGGGCAAGTGCGGCTAGTGAGTGGCACCTATGAAGGCCGGCACGGCACACAAGGGGGTAGGTGGCCAGCACCACGCGCGGCCGCAGTGGCGATGTTTACACACCGCACCAGCTACTCATATGAGGCTGAGTCGACCTAGGGGAGGCCCCAGACCGGCTCAGATAGTCGTCACTGCTGTTGGCGGCTGCGAGCGGCAATCGAACTTTGGTCGCCGGGTTCATAGCGCAGAGCGCTAACCGCTGGACCACCGCTGCCATTGGGTACACTAAACTAAATTTAAACTACATTTTATTTTAGCAGGTGAGGCCCAATGAGCTGTATAGCTCTTTTGCAGAAGCGACCTGGCCACAAATGATAGCTCAACAAAGTGGCGAATCATCACGTGGGGATGATTAGCAGCCAAACGCATGATTATAAATGTGGAGGGGGAAAAACTGAGGACCCGGAGGAAAATCCACGTGACCACGGGGAGAGAGAGACACCGCAAACTCCAAATATACAGCAGCAGCAGCAGGCGTCAGGGTCGGGATCGAACCCTCGACCTCCTGCACACTAGGCGAGGTAGTTAACATCTCCTAGCCACCGTGATGATGATGATGAGAGAGACACGCAAACTCCAAATATACAGCAGCAGACGTCAGGGTCGGGATCGAACCCACGACCTCCTGCACACCAGGCGAGGTCGTTAACATCTCGCCACAGGGCACGCCGTGTGGTGACGTCGTGAGATGACGTCACATGCAACGACGTCACGGGGAAGGGAGGCGGGGCGTGATGTCATCACGGTGGCCGGCAAGGCTTACGCGCTCAGCGTCGCTGTAACCGCCCAGACGCTTTGACCAACGCGTCCGGGTTCCCGTAGGGGAGGGCGAGCCACGGCAAGGTTCAACTCTGCCAGAGTTGCCGTGACCCCACGTTACCCACGGATGGACGGACTGATTACCTCCTCACAAACATCTTCTCCGGCAGGGCGATGTACCCGTCGCCCGCGAAGCTGGCCGCATGTTGGATCACCGACGCTGTGGGGGGTGGGGGGAACAGAGGGCGGGGGTCACGGGCGAGGTTCCGGCCACACCTTGGGGGGTGGCTGATCCACAGGGGTTCTACTCTACTCCAGACGTACAGAGCCCGGCCACGCCACGGAGAGCAGGCGGGGGGGGGAGGGTGATGTGGGTGACTCGCGTGGGGAGTTGGCCACACCGACTCGGGGAGTGGCACGGGGATGAGCCAAAGGGAGCGGTGCTGTGCGGCGACGGTGGGGAGGTGGAGACGGTTACCGTGGTGACAGTCATCGCCGTGGTAACCCATGGGGCACACGCAGCGCGTGCCCACGCACGTGCCGCCGTTCATGCAGCCCACGGCGCGGGAGCAGCCGCTCCGCCGCTCCTCACAGCGCTCGCCTGGGGGTCGCGGGGTCACGGGGTCGCGGGGTCACGGGGACAAGGAGACATGGGCAGATGAACACAATGGGGCTTGGGGACCACGGGGAACACGTGACCACGACGGCACAGGGATGGCAGCAGCAGCAGTCGCGCTGCACCTGGCGGAGCAACCCCCGGCGCCGTGCGACATCGCGGCGGTAGTGGTGGTTGTGGCGGTGGTGGTGGCGGTGGCGGCGGTGGCGGCGGTGGTGGCGGTGGTGGCGGTGGTGGCGGCGGTGGTGGCGGTGGTGGCGGTGGTGGCGGTGGTGGCGATGGCGGCGGCGCTCCTACCCTGGTATCCGTCGGTGCAGACGCACTGCACCTCGTACTCCCCGAGCGGCACGCACGAGCCCCCGTGGCGGCACGGGTTGCGGTGGTCGCACGCGCTGGCGGCGCCGCCGCCGCGGCACGGCTCGACGGCGCGCGACGCCACAAACGAGTAGCTCACGTCCAGGCGCTTCCCGTTCACCAGCACCTGGGGGTGGGCGGGGGGGCGGGGGAGACGCACGCATGGGGGTGGGGGCGGAGGGGTGGACGTGTGTGTGTGTGTCTAGGCTATATGGGGGACGCCTGTCTTTGTTTGTTTGGAGGAGAACGTAGTGCGCTAGAACCTCATGTCCCGCCGTGCTTCCCAGTAGTTCTCCGTAGCAGCTCCCTGCGTTTTTCCGTCCATGCCCATGTCTCCATGCGTCTCCCCACATCTCTCTGCGTCTCCCCGCATCTCCCCGCGTCTCCCCGCGTCTCCCCGCGTCTCCCCGCGTCTCCCCGCGTCTCCCCGCGTCTCCCTGCGTCTGCCCCGCGTCTCCCCGCGTCTGCCCGGGTCTCCCCGCGTCTGCACCGCGCTTCCTCCTGCTTCTCCCATTTCCCCGCGCGCGTGCGCCCCACCCACCTCCGCGATGCACCCGTGCAGGCCGCCGGAGACGTTTGCGTGCGCGTGCAGCGTCCCGCCAGACGGCACCCCGCCCAGGTAGAGGGGCGAGCGCAGGTTGAGCCCCTGGGAGCGCCCGGGGGAGCGAGCGCTCACCTGGCGGCCCTCGTCCAGCCGGAGCCAGCCCTCGCGCTCCACGCGCTCCGCCGCGAGCCGGTGCCAGCGGCCCACCTGCACCCGCTCGGGGCTGCGCAGCACCGCCGTGCCTGCCCGCGCCCAACACAGGAGGGGAAGTGTCGGCCACGTCCGGCGCGGAAGGAGCCCCACGTACGTACGACAACTCCGCACGCGATGGCTGCGCCCCCCCCCCCCGTCTCCCCGCTGCCACGGGATGCCCCCCCCCACCCCCCCCCCCACCCCCCCCACCCCCCCCACCCCCCGACCCCCCGTACCGGAACCCAGGTGGTAGCGCAGCTCGGCGTGTCCGTTCGCGAGCGCCACGGACACGAAGTCGTCGTGGATGCCGCGCCGCGCTCCGCTGTAGAGCAGCAGCCCGTCGAGCTGCAGCGGGCGGAACTCCAGCGAGAGCGTCAGCTGCTTCTGCACGTTGCTCAGCGGCGGCAGCGACACGAACGACGCGCCCGAGAACGACGGCACCGTGATCAGCTCCCCTGTGGCGGCGGCGGCGGCGGCGGGGGGTCGCCGAGAGAGGTCGCGGGGTCGCAGAGAGGGGTCACAGAGAGGGGTCGCGGGGTCACAGAGAGGGGTCGCGGGGTAGCGGGGTCACAGAGAGGGATCGCGGGGTCGCCGAGAGAGGTCACGGGGTCGCAGAGAGGGGTCACATAGAGGGGTCGTGGGGTCACAGAGAGGGGTCGTGGGGTAGCGGGGTCACAGAGAGGGATCGCGGGGTCGCCGAGAGAGGTCACGGGGTCGCAGAGAGGGGTCACAGAGGGGTCGCGGGGTTACAGAGAGGGGTCGTGGGGTCACAGAGAGGGGTCGCGGGGTCACAGAGAGGGGTTGCGGGGTCACAGAGAGGGGTCGCGTCAAAGCGTCTGTACGTGTGGCCTTCACAGTGAAGGCTGCAGGGCAACGTTAGCCATCTCTGGTGCCCTGTGCCAGCTGCCACGTGTGCCACGTGACATTTGCCAACTGTGCCACGTGACGTGTGAGCCAAATGAGCCACGTGACATGTGCCAAGTGTGCCATGTGGCATCTTCCATCCGTGTCATGTGACGTGTGCCACGTGACGTGTAAGCCAAGGGTGCCACCTTGCATGCAGGTCTCCCCAGACTTGCCCAGGTGGCAGCGGCAGGTGAAGCCGGGCCCCTCCTCGCTGCTCACGCACGTCGCGTCGTCGGAGCACGAGCCTGGGGTGGGGGGGCGTGGGGCGTGGGGGGGGGGGCGGTCAGTGAGGTGGGGGGGGGGGGGGGTGGGCGTGTGGCCTTGATGTACAGGCTACCTTTGTCTCTGTATGTATGGGTGGAGCGACAGTGTCTCGGTGAGAGCACTGCGCAGCGACCGGCGGTGGTGACTGCGAACCGCTCCTGTGCCTTCCCTCGGGGGATTCACCCTTAAACGAGCGCCCGGCACGCTGTGTAGTAAACATCCGCACCGGGGAGACAAAGGCGGCCTGACGCGGTGCTGGCCACCCACCCCCTCGTGCGCCGTGCCGGCCTTCACAGGCGCTACTCGCCAACAGCACTTGCCCCCGAACAGCCTGCCAAAGGCTACGCGGGGGATCTTTGTCCGCGTGACGCGTGACCGCGCATACCTGGGTGGCACGACGAGGCCACCGGTAGCTCGCAGTTGGTGCCCGTGTAGCCCGGCGGGCACTCACACTCGTAGCCTCCCTCCTCCGACGGGTGGCACACGCCCTCGTTCTGAGGCCAGACAGACACGCCCGACTTTCCTCGTTATCACCGCCGACACCGATCGTCACCACCGTCGCCGGCGTCGTCATCGGCATGCCAGTGCCGCTGCCTGCGTTCTCGTGAACGCCACCACCAGCAGCAGCAGCAGCAACAGCATTACCGGCATCGTCATCGACGTCGTCATCATCACCATCATCGGCTGCGAGCAGCGTGACTCTGGTATGATGACCACAATCACTCGCGACCAACACAGGGACCAAAATCACGAAGAAGACGATCCTCCCCCCCCCCCCGCACCCTCACATATCGGTCCCTACACGCGAAGCACATGTGACACATCCCATCAGCCAAGCAGCCTTCGCTCTGGGCGTGCACACTCTCAGTGGCCGCTTCACCTCGGTGGGTTCCAACCTGTTAGCCTGGAGTCAACGTGGGCACCTAGCCTGGCACGAGCGCCCTGGTGACGTCGCCGCCAATCAGTTGGTGCTTCTTGTTGTCGTTGTTGTTGGGTTGTTGTTGTTGTAGTGTCGCTGTTATTGTCTTTTGTTATATTGTTGTTATTGTGTTGTTAGTGTGTTGTTGATATTGTGTTGTTGTGTTATTGCTGTGTTGTTGTGTTGTGTTGTTGTTGTTCCACCTGGCACGGGCCGTCCTGGCAGGTGGGGCAGTCCCGCACGGCCACCGACTTGATCGGCTGCGTCAGGAAGTTCACCTGCTCGCCCTGGAGCTCCATCTCACGCACGCAGCCTGCACGCACGCACGGGACACACGCGTGCGTTATACACACACACACGACACACACACTCGCACGGGGGACACACGCGTGCGTTACACACACACACGCGACACACACACTCGCACGGGGGACACACGTGTGCGTTACACACACACACACACGCGACACACACACTCGCACGGGGGACACACACGTGCGTTACACACACACACACACCCGACACACACACACACACACTCGCACGGGACACACACACGTGCGTTACACACACACACACGCGACACACACACACACTCGCACGGGGGACACACACACACACTTGCACGGGACACACACACACACACTCGCGAGCTCAACCACGCACGCTGACCGCTCACCAACTCAAACCGCCCCCCCTCCACCCGCTGGGACGCCCGCCTGCCCATCCACGCACTCGCTCACTCGCTCGTCCAAACACTCGCTCGCCACCCCGCGGCCCTCTCCCCCAGCCCCTCCGCCGACCCTCCAGCCCCCACCCCCCACCCAACTCACCGGTGAATCCGGTCTTGATTCCGGTGATGCGCGTGACGCGGCTGAAGCTGGGGACGCCGCCGACGTACATCTCCTCGTTCAGATCCAAGCCCTGGAACTTGCCCTGCGCACACGAGGACAAAGGTCCCCCGTGTAGCCTTACCGGACTGTTGGGGCAAGCGCTGTTAGAGAGCAGCGCCTACGAAGGCCGGCGCTGTGGCACACGAGGCGGCGGGGGGTTTGCCAGCACCACGCCCGGCCGCCTTTGTCTCTCACCGCTCCTCTTACACGAAGCCGCACACACTCCCACAACGGTACAGGAAACCCTCCATCATCTCTACATCACCATCCCTCCATCCCTCCGCCATCCCTCCACCACCACGCATCCACCGCCACAGTCACCGCCACCGTCTCTCCGTCACCGCCACGCACCTGCGATGATCCGACGACGGGCGCCTCGTTGTTGACGGTGAGCGACCCCTCGGTGAGGTTGCGCCTCAGCGTCACCGTGTGGTACTCGCCCAGCTCCAGAGGCATCGGGTAGCGGATCACCGCCATGCCTGAGCCCACGTCAAACCTACAAAGACACGCACGCAGACGCGCGCAGACGCGCGCGCAGGCGCAGATACGCACACAGACACGCCCGCAGACACACACGAAGACACAGACACACGCGCAGGCGCAGATGCAGACACACACGGAGACACAGACACACACGCAGACACAGACACACGCGCAGACGCAGACACACGCAGACAGAGACACACGCGCAGGCGCAGGCCTCAGACACACACGCAGACACAGACACACACGCAGACACAGACACACGCGCAGGCGCAGACACATGCGCAGACACAGACACACGCGCAGACGCAGACACACGCGCAGACGCAGACACACGCAGACAGAGACACACGCGCAGGCGCAGATGCAGACACACACGCAGACACAGACACACACGCAGACAGACACAGACACAGACACACACGCAGACAGACACAGACACACACGCAGACAGAGACACACGCGCAGACGCAGACACACACAGACACACACGCAGACACACGGGCAGACGGAGACACACGCAGACACAAAGGGCCAGGTTCAGACGCAGACACAGCAACAACAACAGCCGCCATTCGCCACTAAGTGGTGGTGACGTCACCACGACGCTTGTGCCAGGCTACGTGCCTGGCACAAGCCTGGCACAAGCGTCGCCGGCAGGAGGTCACGGCGCAGACCCAACAGGTGCCACGGGTCGACTGACTGAGACGACTGAGACGACTTCTCTTTGGCTGTCGTTGTGGCCGGGGTGTGGGTTGTGGTTCGGGCCGTTGCTGCCGTGACCGTGCTTGCGGCGCCGTTGCGGCCGGGGGGGGGTTATCACCGCGGCACGCCCGTGGTTGCGGCGAGGCCCGTGCCGTGGGCCGGCGTTGCGGTCGCGGTGAGCTCTGCGGAGGCGTGCACGCCGGGGTCGAGTCGAGGGTCGTGGTGTGACAAGACGCGCGCGTTCGCGGTTCAGGTCGTGGCTGGAGTGGTTGGGTGCGGTCGTGGCCGGAGTCAGCGTTGGGGTTAGGGGGGGGGGCGCGAGGGGTCACCTGAACTCGGGCCGCCCCCCGACCAGGCCGAACGAGAGGAAGTCCACACCGCTGCCCTGCTTCTGCCCATTGTAGAGCACCAAACCTGGACGGAACAAGAACAACGACAACACAACAATCCCCGCGTGTGTAGTAATTGTAGGTAGCCGCCCTGGTGCCGGTGTGCAGGCGGTGCAACTGCGCGCTGGGGCCCGTTGGTTTGGGGGGGGCCCAGGTGCCGGGCTACGGAGGGGAAGGAGGTTAGACAGGGACCCTCCGGGCCCCCCACCCCCCTTTAAGTCCTGTGCACCGGGCCTCAAGCCGACACCGCGCGGCACCGCTTCACCGACGCGCCTCTGGTATGCTTGCACAACAACAACAGCGGCCGGCATTCGCCACCAAGTGGCGGTGACGTCACCACAGCGCCTGTGCCAGGCTAGGTGCACATTGAGGCCACGTGAAGTGTCAGAGGCTCGCTGGCAGGGGGGTCATGGGACAGACCCAGCAGGTGTCATGGGTTCACTGACTGAGATGGCTGCCAGATATACCAGCTGTTGTTGTGAGCGTCGCTCCTCTGCCCTCCGATGTTGGTGGAGGGCGACTGCCTCCAACTGCCCAGTAGCGTCCTTCACGAGCCTCTTCCACAGAGGCCGATTTTGACACCGCTGGTACCAGTCATCGGCAAGTCCACATCACTCCATCTCTTCTCCAGCCCATCCGTGTTGTGCCCATTTAGCCCTTTCTATCTGGCCAAACAGAAGCTGTTTGGACAAGCTGTGCCTGGGGATGCGCGTTACATGACCCAGCCAATGCAGCCTGCCAGAGGAGCTCACTGATGGGAATGTGTCCAGATCTGGAAAGACTTGTCCCGCGTTTAGCCTGTAACAGACTGTAGGGGCAAGTGCTGTTAGCGAGCACCTGTAAAGGCAGGCACGGCCCAAGAGGGGATGGGTGGCCAGCACCACGCCCGACCGCCTTTGTCTCCCTAGTGGCGATGTTTACACACCGCACCAGGTGGTAATTTGAGACTGAGTCGACCTAGGGGAGGCCCGGGGACCGGTTCAGACAATCGTCACCGGTGTTGCCCGTGAGCGGGAATCGAACCCGCGTCGCCAGGTTCGTGACGCAACCGCTACACTGCCGCTTCCGGCCTTCATAGGTGCTCGCTAACTCACACTGACCTCTCACACACACGCGCGCGTGCGAGTGCGAGAGCGTTGCTATTGCGACGAGTGTTGTGACAGCGACGAGCATCGCGATTGAAGGGGCGGCTGAGTGGTGGCACCATCGCGGTGTCCGGGAATAGAACCGAGAACCGGGGACTCGGAATCAAGGGCCGGAAAGCGGTCTCCAACAAGAACTGGGGAATGGACTCGAGAACCAGGGAAGGCATTGAAGGAGCAGGGAACGGAGCCAAGGACCGTGGAACGCACTCACCGTGGAAGAAAATCAAAGCTGGAGGATGAGCAGGGAGAAGACGGGAGGAGAGTAGCACAAGGAGGAGGCGAAGGAGGAGGTGAGGAGGAGGTGAGGAGGAGGTGAGGAGGAGCAGGAGACAGAGGGGAGGAGGGTAGCACAAGGGAGGGGGCATCAGAGACATCGTGGGGGGGGGGCTCGCACGCGTGTGCGTGCGTGTGCGTGCGCGCATGCGTGTGTGCGTGTGTGCGTGTGTGCGTGCGTGTGTATGTGCGTGCGTGTATATATGTGTGCGTGGGTGCGTATATGTGTGCGTGTGCATATGTGTGCGTATGCATGTGTGCGCGTGCGTGCATGCGTGTGTGCGTGTGTATGTGTGTGCGTGCGTAAGTGCGTGAATGCGTGTGTGCGTGTGTATGTGTGTGTGTGCGTGCGTAAGTGCGTGCATGCGTTTGTGCGCATGCGTGAGCCTCCGGCTCCTCTCACCATCGGCTGTGTCTGGCCGGAACGTGACCCTGGCCTCGAAGCGCTTGTAGGCGCCCTTCATGGCGGGGAGACTCACGTAGGCTCCGGCTCCCGGGGGGAAGTACGGACGGAGAACCTCTACACACACACAGAGAGAGACAAAGATCCCCCATGTAGCCCGGACAAGTGCTGTAAGCGAGTAGCGTTTATGAAGGCCGGCACGCCGCACGAGCGGGTGGGTGGCCGGCGCCACGCCCGGCCGCCTTTGTCTACCCAGCGCTAATGTTTACACGTAGTACCAGGCGCTCATATGAGGCTGAATCCACCTAGTGGAGTCCCAGGACCGGTTCAGATCATCGTAACCATCGTTGGTCGTGAGTGGGAATCGAACTCGGGTGGCCGAGTGCGTGGCGTACAAAGGTACAATAAACAAAAGGCAAAGATCCCCCATCCCCCGTGTAGTCTTCAACAGGCTGTTGGGGCAAGTGCTGCTCGCGAGCACTTATAAAGGCCGGCACGCCGCACGAGGGGGTGGGTAGCGGGCACCAGGCCCGGCCGCCTTTGTCTCCCCAGCGGTGATGTTTACACTCCGCATCAGGTACTCATTGCAGAATGAGTTGACCTAGGGGAGACGCAGGACCGGTTCAGATCGTCGTCGCTGGTGACCCAAACACACCACGTGCATAGATCCACCCCGCCACCATCCCCCCATGAACCACGCGGGCAGCTCCAGGGCCCCCTCTGGCCCTGCCCACGGAGGGGCCCGCCCGGCCCCTCTGCCACCCGCGGCCCAGCTCCGCGCCGGCCTCGCCAATCGCGGGCCCCGACCCCACCCCACCACCCCTGGCAGCCTTCGCTGCCGACCTCGAACCCGCCCCACGACCCCCCCGTGACCCCCGACCCCCGTGACCCCCGACCCCCCGGGGGCCGCACCGCGCACGACGAGCACGGCCTGCGCCACGGTGGCGCCGCGGCCGTTGTCCCCGCGGCAGGCGTAGGTGCCGCCGTCGTCGCGCCCCACGTGGCGGATCGTCAGCACGCCGCGCTCCACCGAGAAGTCGCTCGGGGGCGGCCCGTCCACCTGCACGGTGGGGGGGGGGGGGGGGAGAGACATCGGGGGACACGAGGTGAGGTTGGGTGGGGAGGGGCGCACGGGAACACGTGGAGACACGAGGGGGCGGTGCTGAGGGGGTGAGAGGGGGCGGTGCTGAGGGGGTGAGAGGGGACGGTGCTGAGGGGGTGAGAGGGGGCGGTGCTGAGGGGGTGAGAGGGGACGGTGCTGAGGGGGTGAGAGGGGACGGTGCTGAGGGGGTGAGAGGGGACGGTGCTGAGGGGGTGAGAGGGGACGGTGCTGAGGGGGTGAGAGGGGGCGGTGCTGAGGGGGTGAGAGGGGACGGTGCTGAGGGGGTGAGAGGGGGCGGTGCTGAGGGGGTGAGAGGGGGCGGTGCTGAGGGGGTGAGAGGGGGCGGTGCTGAGGGGGTGAGAGGGGGCGGTGCTGAGGGGGTGAGAGGGGACGGTGCTGAGGGGGTGAGAGGGGGCGGTGCTGAGGGGGTGAGAGGGGGCGGTGCTGAGGGGGTGAGAGGGGGCGGTGCTGAGGGGGTGAGAGGGGGCGGTGCTGAGGGGGTGAGAGGGGGCGGTGCTGAGGGGGTGAGAGGGGGCGGTGCTGAGGGGGTGAGAGGGGACGGTGCTGAGGGGGTGAGAGGGGACCGTGCTGAGGGGGTGAGAGGGGGCGGTGCTGAGGGGGTGAGAGGGGGCGGTGCTGTGGGGGTGAGAGGGGGCGGTGCTGAGGGGGTGAGAGGGGACCGTGCTGAGGGGGTGAGAGGGGGCAGTGCTGAGGGGGTGAGAGGGGACGGTGCTGAGGGGGTGAGAGGGGGCGGTGCTGAGGGGGTGAGAGGGGACGGTGCTGAGGGGGTGAGAGGGGGCGGTGCTGAGGGGGTGAGAGGGGGCGGTGCTGAGGGGGTGAGAGGGGGCGGTGCTGAGGGGGTGAGAGGGGGCGGTGCTGAGGGGGTGAGAGGGGACCGTGCTGAGGGGGTGAGAGGGGGCAGTGCTGAGGGGGTGAGAGGGGACGGTGCTGAGGGGGTGAGAGGGGACCGTGCTGAGGGGGTGAGAGGGGGCGGTGCTGAGGGGGTGAGAGGGGGCGGTGCTGAGGGGGTGAGAGGGGGCGGTGCTGTGGGGGTGAGAGGGGGCGGTGCTGAGGGGGTGAGAGGGGGCGGTGCTGAGGGGGTGAGAGGGGACGGTGCTGAGGGGGTGAGAGGGGGCGGTGCTGAGGGGGTGAGAGGGGACGGTGCTGAGGGGGTGAGAGGGGGCGGTGCTGAGGGGGTGAGAGGGGACCGTGCTGAGGGGGTGAGAGGGGGCAGTGCTGAGGGGGTGAGAGGGGACGGTGCTGAGGGGGTGAGAGGGGGCGGTGCTGAGGGGGTGAGAGGGGACGGTGCTGAGGGGGGTGAGAGGGGGCGGTGCTGAGGGGGTGAGAGGGGACGGTGCTGAGGGGGTGAGAGGGGGCGGTGCTGAGGGGGTGAGAGGGGACCGTGCTGAGGGGGTGAGAGGGGGCAGTGCTGAGGGGGTGAGAGGGGACGGTGCTGAGGGGGTGAGAGGGGGCGGTGCTGAGGGGGTGAGAGGGGACGGTGCTGAGGGGGTGAGAGGGGGCGGTGCTGAGGGGGTGAGAGGGGACCGTGCTGAGGGGGTGAGAGGGGGCGGTGCTGAGGGGGTAAGAGGGGACCTTGTTCCAGGAGAGTTGTGGCGCTGGCAGTCCGGCCGCGTGGCACGTGAACGACGCCGTCCCTCCCGGCGCTATCACACGTGATCTCGGCATCACCGAGATCTGGGGCTCCACTGTACACACGGAGACAAAGATTCCCCGCGTAGCTTTCATGGACTGTCGGGGCAAGTGCCTTTGGCGAGCAGCACCTACGAAGGCCGGCACGGCACACGAGGGGGTGGTCGGCCAGCACCACGCCCGGCCACCTTTGTCTCCCCTGTGGCGAAAATTGACTACACACCGCACCAGGTACTCATTTGAAGCTGAGTCGACCTAGGGCGGGCCCAGGACCGGTTCAGACAATCATCACCGGCGTTGATCGTGAGGGGAAATCGACCTTGAGTCGCCGGGTTCGTAGCGCAGCGCGCTGACCGCTACCGCCACCACACACAGACACGCAGACTGACGCAAGCGTACACGCAGACTGACGCACACGTACACGCAGACTGATGCACGCGTACACACAGACTCACGCACGCGTACACACAGACTGATGCACGCGTACACACAGACTCACCACACGTACACGCAGACTCACGCACGCGTACACACAGACTGATGCACGTGTACACACAGACTCACCACACGTACACACAGACTCACCACACGTACACACAGACTCACACACACGTACACACAGACTGATGCACGCATACACACAGACTCACCACACGTACACACAGACTCACACACACGTACACACAGACTCATGCACGCGTACACACGCAGACTCACGTACACACACAGACTCACACACACGTACACACAGACTCACGCACACGTACACGCAGACTCACGCACACGTACACACAGACTAATGCACGCATACACACGCAGACTCACGCACACGTACACACACAGACTCACGCACACGTACACACACAGACTCACGCACACGTACACACAGACTCACGCACACGTACACACGCAGACTCACGCCCACACTCACGCTCACACACTCGCGCTCACACGCGCGCGCGTACCCTGCACGTAGAGCTGCACGCGCGACTCCACGGAGCCGGCGGCGTTGGTGGCCGTGCAGCGGTAGATGCCGGCGTCCGAGGGTCGCGCCGTCTCCAGCACGAGCAGCCCCCCGGCGAGCACGGCGTGCGGGGGCAGCGCCGCGTCCACGCGGTCCCAGCGCACCGCGGGCAGCGGCTCGCCGGGCGCATGGCAGTCGAACTCCACGCGGGCGCCCACCGCCACGGTCTGCGCCGCGGTGCGCACCGAGATGCTCACCACCGGCAGCGCCGCGGACGAAGATCCCCCTGCCGGCGAACCGCGTCGTGCGGCATTAGCGGCGCGGTGGCGGCCCCCCGCGCCCTCCGGGAACCTTCGCCTGGCCCGAGCGTGCCATGTTTTTGTTTATTGTAGTACGGAGTTAGACTGATGGCTTTAATCTTAGTTGTCTTGTGGTTGTTGTTGTTGTTGTTATTTTGACTCGCATCCCACTGGGATTTTTGCGCACAGCGTTGGTGTACGGTGCTATTTCAGGAATATTGTGAATTTTTTTTCCATGGATTTTCTGTTTGCACAGTCACATAGTCACTTTAAGATGTTTTCTTGTTCATGTTTTTTGTTTGTTGCGGTTGCACCCGATTCAAGAGCCGAATGGCTCACAGGGCTATACCAAATAAATGAACTATGAACTAAATGAACTATGTTTACGCCCCGTGGCCGGATTACTGACTTGAGGCTGAGTGGACCCGAGGGGTAGGCCCAGAACCGGTTCGAATGTTCCCCACTGTTATTGGTGTGTGAGCTAACCGCTAACAAAGGCAACAAAGTGTAGCCTGTAGCAGACTGCAGGGGCTGTTAGCGAGCAGCACCTGTGAAGGCCGGCACGGCACACGAGGGGGTGGGTGGCCAGCACCACGCCCGGCCGCCTTTGTCTCCCCAGTGGCGATGTTTACACACAGCACCGGGTACTCATTTGAGGCTGAATCGACCTAGGGGAGGCCCAGGACCGGTTCAGATAATCGTCACCGGCGGTGTTGTCCGTGAGCGGGAATCGAACTCGGGTTGCCAGGTTCATAGCGCAGCGCTGTGCTACGCCGCCGCTCACACGCACACACCCAGACACGCTCACACTCACACACACGCACACACGCTCACCCACACGCACACACCCAGACATGCTCACCCACACACCCAGACACGCTCACACGCACACACCCAGACACGCTCACCCACACACCCAGACACGCTCACCCACACACCCAGACACGCTCACACGCACACACCCAGGCACGCTCACACACACGCACACACCCAGACATGCCCACCCACACCCACACACCCAGACACGCTCACACGCACACACCCAGACACGCTCACCCACACGCACACACGCACACACGCTCACCCACACGCACACACCCAGGCACACTCACACCCAGGCACACTCACACACACGCTCACCCACACGCACACACCCTGACATGCTCACCCACACACCCAGACACGCTCACCCACACGCACACATGCACACACGCTCACCCACACGCACACCCAGACACGCACACACACGCACACACCCAGACACGCACACCCAGACACGCACACACCCAGACATGCTCACTCACACGCACACACGCACACACGCTCACCCACACGCACACACCCAGGCACGCACACACACGCACACAACCAGACACGCACACACCCAGACATGCTCACCCACACGCACACACACGCTCACCCAAACGCACACACGCACACACGCTCACCCACACGCACACACCCAGGCACGCTCACCCACACGCACACACCCAGACATGCTCACCCACAAGCACACACGCACACAAACGCACACACCCACACGCACACACACGCACACCCACACGCGCACACCCAGACATGCTCACCCACACGCACACACACGCACACACGCTCACCCACACGCACACACCCACACACGCACACACCCACACGCACACGCACACACCCACACGCACACACACGCACACACACGCACACACACGCACACACCCACACACACCCACACACACGCACACACCCACACACACGCACACACCCCCACACACCCACACACACGCACACACCCACACGCCCACACACCCACACGCACATACGCACACACACGCACACACCCACACGCACACACACCCACACGCACATACGCACACACACGCACACGCACACACCCACACGCACACACACGCACACACAGTGACGCAGGCCGTCGGGGTAAGTGGGGTCAGCGAATCGCGACTGCGAAGCCGGCACGGGTTCCCGGGGGGTGGGGACACAGAGGGGACGTGAGGGCACTGAAGGGTGATGGGTGGAGGTGAGCGTGGAGGTGAGCGTGGAGGTGAGGGTGGGGTGAGGCTGGCCCCTCACCGTGCACGGAGAGTCGTGCGGAGTCGTGCCCCTCCCCGCCTGCGTTCCGGGCTCGGCACACGTACTCCCCCTCGTCCTCCTTGCGCAGGTCCTCCAGCCTGGCACGGCACACGCACGGCACACACGCGTGTGTGTGTGCGCGTGTGTGTGCACAGTGCGGTGAGCGCGAGGTGTGGTGAGAGTCAGATGAGTCATGACTCCAATTGACCCGTGTGTGACCCCGTGTGTGACCCCACGTGACCCCGAGTGTGACCCCACGTGACCCCGTGTGTGAGCCCGAGTGTGACCCCGAGCGTAATCCCGTGTACGACCCCGGGTGACCCCGAGTAACCGCGCGTGCGACCCCGTGTATGACCCCGAGTGACCTTGCGTGTGACCCCGTGTATGACCCCGAGCGTGACCCCGAGCGTGACCCCCGCGCGTGACCCCCGCGCGCCGTACCGGAGCGTGCCGTGCGACACGGTGTGCCGGGCCGGCAGGGCGGCGCCGCCCCGCCGCGTCCACTCCACGGCGGGGCCGGGCTCTCCGGCGGCGCGGCACGAGAACTCCGCCACGGAACCGGGGGCCTTGACGGCCTCGCTCGGCGTCACCTTCACCGCCGGGGCCGCCGGGGCCGCCGGGACGACGGGCGAGGCTGTGCGCAGGCGGAGGGAGCGGGACGGCGGGAGCGCACGCGAGAGGTCGGGATGGAACCCCGCGGTCAGCGGCCCCCCGCACGGCGACGCGCGCGTCACTCACGGACAACGCCGGTGGCGGTCGTGGTGGTCGTGGCGGTGGCTGCGGCGGGGAGCGGCGGTGTAGCGGTCAGCGCTACGCTGCGCCACGAACCCGGCGACCCGAGCTCGATTGCCTCTCACGACCAACGCCTGTGACGACTATCTGAATCGGTCCTGGGGCCTCCCCTAGGTCGACTCGGCCTCAAATAAGTACCTGGTGCGGTGTGCAAACATCAGCATTGGGGAGACAAAGGCGGCCGGGCGTGGTTGATGGCCACCCGCCCCCTCGTGTGCCGTGCCGGGCCTTCATAGGTGCTCGCCAACAGCACTTGCCCCAGCAGTCTGTTGAAGGCTACACGGGGGGATGGGGGATCTTTGCCTTTGTTTATTGTGCGTGCCACTGCACGTGCGTGTGAGCCACTGTGCACTCGCCCCAACAATACGTTAAAGGCTACACGGGGGTCCTTTGCCTTTTGCTGTCTGAGTGTGGTGCACGCGGGGGGGTCTCCTCCGTGGCCACGACTCGGGATTGCGACCGGCGCGCCCTCTCGTTTGGCCGGCTCGGATCCGGTGGGGGGCGGGGGTGGGGGTGGGGGGGGGGGGGGGCGGGGGTGGGGGCGGGGTGGGGGGGCTGAACCGCCGCGCTCACCGCCGCGGACGACCACGGTGGCGGAGGCCTCCCCGGCGCCGGCACGGTTCGTGACGCGCACGCGGTACACGCCGGCGTCGCCGGGGCCGGCCCGCTCCACGAGCAGCACGCCGTCGCGGCCCGCGCGCGCGTGCGGGGCCAGCGGGCCGCCGTCGCGGGACCACTCCAGCCGCAGGGGCGGCGTGCCGTGCGCCACGCACTGCACGCGCAGCCGCTCGCCCTCCCGCACCTCCACGCGCGCGGGGAAGCACGTCGCGTAGGGGGGCACTGCGAGGGGCGGGGGGGGGGCGGGTGGGGGGCGGGGGGGGGCACAGTTGGGAAGAAAGTGTTACTTCGTGGCGGCGGCTTCAATAGGCGCTCGCTAACAGCCGTGCCCGTGTGTGTGTGTGCTGGGCGCCTGTAGCCCAGCCGTGCCCGTGTGTGTGTGCTGGGCGCCTGTAGCCCAGCCGTGCCCGTGTGTGTGTGTGCTGGGCGCCTGTAGCCCAGCCGTGCCCGTGTGTGTGTGCTGGGCGCCTGTAGCCCAGCCGTGCCCGTGTGTGTGTGTGCTGGGCGCCTGTAGCTCAGCCGTGCCCGTGTGTGTGTGCTGGGCGCCTGTAGCCCAGCCGTGCCCGTGTGTGTGTGCTGGGCGCCTGTAGCCCAGCGCTGCGGAGCCAGCGGTGAGGGTTGGTGGATGACCACACGCAGACGTTGCTGTGAAACTCACGTCTACCCGTGGGCGTCGGGGAGGTTTATTCCATCTGTACGCGGGGGGATCGAGCGTTGCCCCCCCTCTCGCGCGATGCGCGGGGTGTACTCCTCCCACGTGAATAATAAACACGACGGCTCGTCGGCGTTAATCGGCCGAAAACATCTCACGAATAAAAAAACACCCAATGCGGCATGACCCCGAGTGTGACCCCGAGTGTGACCCCGAGTGACCTCGCGCGCGGGGTCACGCTCGGGGTCACGCTCGGGGTCACGCTCAGGGTCACACTCGGGGTCACTCTGAGGTGGCTCTGCGGGGTTCCGTGCACTCGTGCGGGAGCACCGTGCCCGTGGGTGCCTCGCCGGTCACGGTCAGGTCACGGTCAGGTCACGGTCAGGTCACGTCACGCGTCGCCGCCACGCACCCTCCACCTCCAGCGAGACGTAGGCCTCGGCGTTGCCATGCCGACTCGTCGCGTTGCAGATGTACGCGCCGCTGTCCTGCTGCCCCACGTGGGGGATCGTCAGCACGCCGCCCTCCACGCTGTGTTGCCACGGCAACGGCGAGCGCAGCTTGGACCACGTGATGACGGGAGAGCCGGAGCCTGCGTGCGCGCACGGAGAGAGCACGGTGTGGTAGTGCACGGTGTGTGTGTGGTAGTACACGATGTGGTAGTGCACGGTGTGTGTGTGGTAGTGCACGGTGTGTGTGTGGTAGTGCACGGTGTGTGTGGTAGTGCACTGTGTGTGTGCGGTAGTGCACGGTGTGGTAGTGCACGGTGTGTGTGGTAGTGCACGATGTGGTAGTGCACGATGTGGTAGTGAAGTGTGTGTGGTAGTGCACGGTGTGTGTGTGGTAGTGCACGGTGTGTGTGTGTGGTAGTGCACGGTGTGTGTGGTAGTGCAGTGTGTGTGGTAGTGCACGGTGTGTGTGGTAGTGCACGGTGTGTGTGGTAGTGCGCGGTGTGTGTGTGGTAGTGCACGATGTGGTAGTGCGGTGTGTGTGTGGTAGTGCACGGTGTGGTAGTACACGGTGTGGTAGTGCACGGTGTGGTAGTACACGGTGTGGTAGTGCACGGTGTGGTAGTACACGGTGTGGTAGTGCACGATGTGTGTGTGGTAGTGCAAGGTGTGTGTGGTAGTGCACGGTGTGGTAGTGCACGGTGTGTGTGTGGTAGTGCACGATGTGGTAGTGCAGTGTGTGTGGTAGTGCACGGTGTGTGTGTGGTATGGCACGGTGTGGTAGTGCACGGTGTGTGTGGTAGTGCACGATGTGTGCGCGGTAGTGCACGATGTGTGTGTGGTAGTGCACGGTGTTAGTGCGGTAGTGCACGGTGTGTGTGGTAGTGCACGGTGTTAGTGCGGTAGTGCGCGGTGTGTGTGGTAGTGCACGGTGTGGGTGTTGTAGTGCACGGTGTGGGTGCGGTAGTGTATGATGTGTGTGTGTGATAGTGTCCGGTGTGTGTGTGGTAGTGCACGGTGTGTGGTAGTGCACGGTGTGGTAGTGCACGGCGTGTGTGTGGTAGTGCACGGCGGGGTAGTGCACGGTGTGTGGTAGTGCGTGGTGTGTGTGTGGTAGCGCACGGTGTGTGTGTGGTAGTGCACGGTGTGGCAGTGCACGGTGTGTGTGGTAGTGCACGGTGTGGTAGTGCAGTGTGTGGTAGTGCACGGTGTTGGTGCGGTAGTACACGGGTGTGGTAGTGCACGGTGTGGTAGTGCACGATGTGTGTGTGGTAGTGCACGGTGTGGTAGTACACGGCGTGGTAGTACACGGTGCGGTAGTGCACGATGTGTGTGTGGTAGTGCACGGTGTGGTAGTACACGGCGCGGTAGTGCACGATGTGTGTGTGGTAGTGCACGGTGTGGTAGTACACGGTGTGGTAGTACACGGCGTGGTAGTGCACGATGTGTGTGGCAATGCACGGTGCGGTAGTGCACGGTGTGGTAGTGCACGGTGTGGGCGCGGGCGCTACCGGTGACTGTGCAGCGCAGCGTGGCGGTGCCGCCGGCGATGACGACGAGCGAGGGCTCCGGCAAGGAGATGAGCGGTGGGCCCTCCCCGCCCGGGCCCTCCACCACCACCTCCACGTGCTGCTCCGTGGAGCCGATGTCGTTGCGTGCGACGCAGGCGTAAGTCCCCGCGTCGCGTGCACGCACTGACGTCAGCTGGGAACGACGGTGGCGGCGAGTCAGTGCCGTCCGCACGTCTGTCTGTATGACCGTCTGTTCATCTGTCTGTCTGTATGACCGTCTGTTCATCTGTCGGTCTGTATGACCGTCTGACTGTCGGTCTGTATGACCGTCTGTTCATCTGTCTGTCTGTATGACCGTCTGTTCATCTGTCTGTCTGTATGACCGTCTGTTCATCTGTCTGTCTATGTGACCGTCTGTTCATCTGTCTGTCTGTATGACCGTCTGTTCATCTGTCTGTCTGTATGACCGTCTGACTGTCTGTATGACCGTCTGACTGTCGGTCTGTCTGTATGACCGTCTGACTGTCGGTCTGTCTGTATGACTTCTGTTTATCTGTCTGTCTGTATGACCGTCTGACTGTGTGTCTGTCTGTATGACCGTCTGTTCATCTGTCTGTCTGTATAACCGTCTGACTGTCTGTCTGTATGACCGTCTGACTGTGTGTCTGTCTGTATGACCGTCTGACTGTGTGTCTGTCTGTATGACCGTCTGACTGTCTGTCTGTCTGTATGACCGTCTGACTGTCTGTCTGTCTGACCGTCTGACTGTCGGTCTGTCTGTATGACCGTCTGACTGTCTAAGACAGTCTGTCTGTCTATATGACCGTCTGACTGTCTGTCTGCCTGTCTGTATGACCGTCTGACTGTGTGTCTGTCTGTATGACCGTCTGTCTGTCTGAGTGTCTGTCTGTCTGTATGACCGTCTGACTGTCTGTTTGTCTGTATGACCGTTTGAGTGTCTGTATGACCGTCTAACTGTCTGTATGACCGTCTGTCTGTCTGTCTGACCGTCTGACCGCCTGACTGTCTGTATGACCGTCTGCCCGTCTGACTGTGTGTATGACCGTCTGACTGTCTGTCTGTATGTATGACCGTCTGACTGTGTGTCTGTCTGTATGACCGTCTGTTCATCTGTCTGTCTGTATGACCGTCTGACCGTCTGACTGTCTGTATGACCGTCTGACCGTCTGTCTGTATGACCGTCTGACCGTCTGACTGTCTGTATGACCGTCTGACCGTTTATTTGTCTGTATGACCGTCTGACCGTCTGACTGTCTGTATGACCGTCTGACCGTCTGTCTGTCTGTATGACCGTCTGATCGTCTGACTGTCTGTATGACCGTCTGACCATCTGTCTGTCTGTATGACCGTCTGACCGTCTGTCTGTATGACCGTCTGACCGTCTGTCTGTATGTATGACCGTCTTACTGTCTGACTGTCTGTATAACTGTCTGACTGTCTGTATGACCGTCTGACCGTCTGACTGTCTGTATGACCGTCTGTCTGTCTGTATGACCGTCTGACTGTCTGTATGACCGTCTGACCGTCTGTCTGTATGACCGTCTGATCGTCTGACTGTATGACCATCTGTCTGTCTGTATGACCGTCTGACCGTCTGTCTGTATGTATGACCGTCTTACTGTCTGACTGACTGTATGACCGTCTGACCGTCTGACTGTCTGTATGACCGTCTGACTGTCTGCATGACCGTCTGATCGTCTGTCTGTCTGTATGACCGTCTGTCTGTCTGTATGACCGTCTGACCGTCTCTCTGTATGTATGACCGTCTTACTGTCTGACTGTCTGTATGACCGTCTGACTGTCTGTCTGTCTGCATGACCGTCTGCCTGTCTGTATGACCCTCTGTTCATCTGTCTGTCTGTCTGTATGACTGTCTGTCTGTCTGACCGTCTGACTGTCTGTCTGTATGTATGACCGTCTGACTGTCTGTCTGTATGTATGACCGTCTGACTGTCTGTCTGTATGACCGTCTGTCTGTCTGTATGACCGTCTGCCTGTCTGTATGTATGACCGGCTGTCTGACTGTATGTATGACCGTCTGACTGTCTGACTGTCTGTATGACCGTCTGACTGTCTGTCTGTCTGTCTGACCGTCAGTTCATCTGTCTGTCTGTCTGTATGACTGTCTGTCTGACTGTCTGTCTGTATGTATGACCGCCTGACTGTCTGTCTGTATGACCGTCTGTCTGTATGACCGTCTGACTGTCTGTCTGTATGTATGACCAGCTGTCTGACTGTATGTATGACCGTCTGACTGTCTGTCTGACCGTCTGACTGTCTGTCTGTATGTATGACCGTCTGACTGTCTGTCTTTATGTATGACTGTCTGACTGTCTGTATGACCATCTGACTGTCTGTATGACCATCTGTCTGTCTGTCTGACTGCCTGTCTGTATGACCGTCTGTCTGTCTGTATGAACGTCTGACTGTCTGCATGACCGTCTGATCGTCTGTCTGTCTGTATGACCGTCTGTCTGTCTGTATGACCGTCTGACCGTCTCTCTGTATGTATGACCGTCTTACTGTCTGACTGTCTGTATGACCGTCTGACTGTCTGTCTGTCTGCATGACCGTCTGCCTGTCTGTATGACCGTCTGTTCATCTGTCTGTCTGTCTGTATGACTGTCTGTCTGACCGTCTGACTGTCTGTCTGTATGTATGACCGTCTGACTGTCTGTCTGTATGTATGACCGTCTGACTGTCTGTCTGTATGACCGTCTGTCTGTCTGTATGACCGTCTGCCTGTCTGTCTGTATGTATGACCGGCTGTCTGACTGTATGTATGACCGTCTGACTGTCTGACTGTCTGTATGACCGTCTGACTGTCTGTCTGTCTGTCTGACCGTCAGTTCATCTGTCTGTCTATCTGTCTGTATGACTGTCTGTCTGACCGTCTGACTGTCTGTATGTATGACCGCCTGACTGTCTGTCTGTATGACCGTCTGTCTGTATGACCGTCTGACTGTCTGTCTGTATGTATGACCGGCTGTCTGACTGTATGTATGACCGTCTGACTGTCTGTCTGACCGTCTGACTGTCTGTCTGTATGTATGACCGTCTGACTGTCTGTCTTTATGTATGACTGTCTGACTGTCTGTATGACCGTCTGACTGTCTGTATGACCATCTGTCTGTCTGTCTGACTGTCTGTCTGTATGGCCGTCTGTCTGTCTGTATGACCGTCTGACTGTCTGTCTGACTGTCTGTCTGTATGACCGTCTGACTGTCTGTCTGTATGTATGACCGTCTGACTGTCTGTCTGTATGACCGTCTGACTGTCTGTCTGTCTGACCGTCTGACTGTATGACCGTCTGACTGTCTGTCTATATGACCGTCTGACTGTCTGTCTGTCTGTATGACCGTCTGACTGTCTGTCTGACCGTCTGTCTGTCTGTATGACCGTCTGACCGTCTGTCTGTCTGTATGACCGTCTGACTGTCTGTATGATCGTCTGTCTGTCTGTCTGTATGACCGTCTGACTGTCTGTCTGTATGTATGACCGGCTGTCTGACTGTATGTATTACCGTCTGACTGTATGACCGTCTGACTGTATTTATGTATGACCGTCTGACTGTCTGACTGTCTGTATGACCGTCTGACTGTCTGTATGACCGTCTGTCTGTCTGTCTGACTGTCTGTCTGTATGACTGTCTGACTGTCTGTCTGTATCTATGACCGTCTGTCTGTCTGTCTGACCGTCTGACTATCTGTATGTATGACCGTCTGTCTGTCTGTCTGACCGTCTGTCTGTCTGACTGTTTGTCTGTCTGTATGACCGTCTGTCTGTCTGTATGACCTTCTGACTGTTTGTCTGTATGTATGACCGTCTTACTATCTGACTGTATGACCGTCTGACTGTATGACCGTCTGCCCGTCTGTCTGTCTGACCGTCTGTCTGTATGTATGACTGTCTGACTGTCTGTCTCTCTGTATGACCGTCTGACTGTCTGTCTGACCGTCTGCCCGTCTGTCTGTCTGACTGTCTGTATGTATGACCGTCTGACTGTCTGACTGTCTGTCTCTCTGTATGACCGTCTGTCTGTCTGTTTGACTGTCTGACTGTCTGTATGACCGTCTGACTGTCTGTATGGCCGTCTGTTCATCTGTCTGCCTGTATGACCGTCTGACCGTCTGTCTGACTGTATAACCGTCTGTCTGTCCGACCGCCTGTCTGCCCATCTGTCTGTCCGTCCGTCCATCTGCACGTGCCTAATTCTCGTGGTGGGATCTCTCTCGCTTGGCCCGCAGGCGCCCGTGGGTCTGCTCCCGGACCCCGGCGACGCCTCTCGTCGTGAATTGCGAGTCTGCGTGTGTTCTCCCTCTCTGCGCCGTGGTCACCCGGTCATCGACACGGTCACTGTGACCGTGCCGATCGTTCTCCGGTTACACCCCTCCACATTTAGAATCAACACGCGGCGATTAGAGGAGTTGGCCCACCACGCGCTACGATGACGATGATGATGTCGGCCAATTCGATGAGGAGCTATCATCATGCGTAGCCGGGTCGCCTCTGAAATAATTTAGTTTAGTTTAAAGGTGGTCCGATATTAACTAAGTCGTGTTGCCGTTCGGAATATTGGTTTGAGCGCTGCTGCTACTGCTGCTAACTGCTGCTACTCACTGCTGCTACTGCTGCTGTCACTGCTGCTACTCACTGCTGCTAACTGCTGCTACTCACTGCTGCTCACTGCTGCTGCTCACTGCTACTCACTGCTGCTCACTGCTGCTGCTCACTGCTACTCACTGCTGCTACTGCTGCTCACTGCTGCTACTCACTGCTGCTACTCACTGCTGCTCACTGCTGCTGCTCACTGTTGCTGCTCACTGCTGCTACTGCTGCTGCTACTGCTGCTACTGCTGCTCACTGCTGTTGCTCACTGCTGCTGCTCACTGCTACTGCTGCTACTGCTGCTCACTGCTGCTACTCACTGCTGCTCACTGTTGCTGCTCACTGCTGCTACTCACTGTTGCTGCTCACTGCTGCTACTGCTGCTACTCACTGCTGCTACTCACTGCTGCTCACTGCTGCTGCTCACTGCTGCTGCTACTGCTGCTCACTGCTGCTGCTACTGCTGCTCACTGCTGCTGCTCACTGCTGCTACTGCTGCCCACTGTTGCTGCTCACTGTTGCTCACTGCTGTTGCTGCTCACTGTTGCTCACTGCTGTTGCTGCTCACTGCTGCTACTGCTGCTGCTCACTGCTGCTCACTGCTGCTCACTGCTGCTACTACTGCTGCTCACTGCTGCTACTACTGCTGCTCACTGCTGCTGCTACTGCTGCTACTGCTGCTCACTGCTGCTCACTGCTGCTACTCACTGCTGCTACTGCTGCTGCTGGTGCCCACTGTTGCTGCTCACTGCTGCTCACTGCTGTTGCTACTCACTGCTGCTACTGCTGCTGCTCACTGCTGCTACTGCTGCTACTGCTGCTGTTCACTGCTGCTACTGCTGCTACTGGTGCCCACCTCCCCCCCCCCTCCTCCCCCGTGGCGCCCACCTGCAGCAGGGCGCTGCCCTCCGTGGGCGGCGCGTGGGGCAGGCCGTGTGGGCGCAGGTCGGCGACCCTCCAGTGCACGGAGGGCCGCGGGTGGCCCATGCCGGAGCACTCCAGGGTGAGCGAGGCGCCCAGGCGCACGCGCACCGGACCACCCTTGGGGGTGATGGCGATGCTCGGGGGACCTGGGGACGGCGGGGACGGTGAGGGCCGCTGGTGGCGCGTGTGTGTTTGTGTGTGTGTGTTTGTGTGTGTGTGTTTGTGTGTGTGTGTTTGTGTGTTTGTGTGTGTGTGTGTTTGTGTGTGTGTGTTTGTGTGTGTTTGTGTGTGTGTGTTTGCGTGTGTGTTTGTGTGTGTGTGTTTGTGTGTGTGTGTGTCTTTGTGTGTGTGTGTTTGTGTGTGTGTGTGTTTGTGTGTTTGTGTGTGTGTTTGTTTGTGTGTGTGTGTGTGTGTTTGTGTGTGTGTGTGTTTGTGTGTGTGTTTGTGTGTGTGTTTGTGTGTGTGTGTTTGTGTGTGTGTGTTTGTGTGTGTTTGTGTGTGTGTGTTTGTGTGTGTTTGTGTTTGTGTGTGTGTGTGTGCGTGTGTGTTTGTGTGTGTTTGTGTGTGTGTTTGTGCGTGTGTTTGTGTGTGTGTTTGTGTGTGTGTTTGTGTGTGTGTTTGTGTGTGTTTGTGTGTGTGTTTGTGTGTGTGTTTGTGTGTGTGTGTTTGTGGGCGTGTGTTTGTGTGCGCGTGTTTGTGTGTGCGTGTGTTTGTGCGTGCGTGTGTTTGTGCGTGCGTGTGCCGGAGGCCCCCGGGGGAATAGGCGTCTTTGACGTCTCCTGGCCAAACCCCATTTGGCGGAGCCAGGAGATTGAATATTCACTCTCGGGGCTCCTCCAGAAACAACAAAAAAACACTGCGGGTGGCCACGTGCAATGTTCAAACGCTCACTGCGGTATTCAGGAGGTACGGCCGACCGGCTCTGGCTCCTGCCACCATGAGGGGTGGACAGTCCTCTACTAGGGGCAGGAGACTACCAAACAACGGGGAGTGGCTCTTCTTCTGAACAAAAGAATGAAGGGGGCGTGGGAGCGTGGCGGTGAGGTGTGGGAAGCTGTATGTTCCAGACTACTTTTGGCTCACCTTCCCATCAACCGGAGGTGATGAGTGGTGGTCATGGTTACTTATGCCCCCACCGAAGACGAACATCCGTGGAGGGATGCAGGCAAGGCCGATGAGTCAGATTCCTTCTATGACCTCCTGACACAGGTGCTGGCTAAAGTGGCCCCTCGGGATAGAGTCATCTTGTTGGGTGACTTCAATGCCCGAGTTGGTCATGATGCTGGCACCTGGTCTGGAGTGATTGGAGGGCATGGGCCAGATCAGCTCAATAACAACGGTAGGAGGCTGCTAGATTTTTGTGCAGCCCATGGGCTTGTCATATGCAACACGCTGTTCCGGCATCGGCGCATCCACACAACATCATGGATGAATGCCGGGTCAAAGCAAGAACATCTGCTGGACTACATAGTGACGGAACAGCGGATGCGGGCCATGTCCTTGACACCAGGACCTACCGTGGAGCTGATCTGCCCACTGACCATCGACTTGTCATCTGTAAGATGCATCTGCCATTCTTCTACTCCGGTGGTGGGTGTACACCCAGGACCCCATTCAAACCCAAGGTGGCCTGGTCTAGCTGATGAAAGTTGCAAGCAAGAATTTCATCATCGCTTGCGGCTGGGGTTGGCATCGTCCCCAACTCCTCCAGATGTCGAGGGTAAATGGGCGAGGTTTAGGACTGGAGCTCATGCAGCTGCAATGGCTGCTTTTGGTACACGGTCCAGACCTCCCCAGGCTGGCTGAGAAAAAGCGACAGGCCCACTCTCATCATCTACAGCATCCCACGTCAGAGAATGAGGAGGCTTACCGCAGCATTCGCTCGGAGGTTTGGAGAGCCGTGAGGCGCTGCAAGGATGGGTGGTGGTCGCGGGTTGCTGAGGAGATGGAGTCTGCCTCAACGGCCCGCGATCACAAATCGCTATTTAATTTCATCAAAAAAGTAACCTGCAGTGCCACACCTATTACCATCATTAGGGGAAAAAACGGTGATCCAATTTCCGACCCCCAGGAACAGGTTTGCAGATTTGCTGAGCATTTCTGTGAACTCCTGGGGGAGGAGAAATCCCTTGGCATGGAAAACATCGTGGGACAAAGTGGGGATGACCCTGCTGAGGCTGTGGTATATCAAATATTGGAAAAAGAAGTCACCCCCTATGAGTGGCTGGCTGAGGTGCCAACTGTTGAGGAAGTACTAAAGGCGATCCAGAGTCTGAAACTAGGAAAGGCACCGGGTAGAGATGATCTCCCAAGAGAGATACTGAGGGAGGTGGCGTTTGTGCACAGACTGCCCTACATGACATCATAACAACAGTCTGGACCACTGGATGGGTTCCGCAGGATTGGAAGGATGCCCTGGTGGTCCCCCTCTTTAAGAAGGGGGCCCACATAGACTGTAACAACTACAGGGGCATCTCACTCCTCAGTGTGCCGGGAAAGCTCCTGGAAAGGATTATTCAACATTGCCTTGCCAGGCATGCTGAGGAGAGGCTTGCGGAGCGCCAATGGTTTCAGGAAAGGGCGGTCCTGCACAGATGCCATATTTTCTGTCCATCTGCTACAGCAGAGGTGTAGAGAATTCCAACAAGACCTACATCTCTGCTTTATTGACCTGGTCAAGGCCTATGATACCATTAGTAGGCCTGGGCTCTGGGTTATTCTTCGTGTTTTTGGAGTACCTGACCCTCTGCTCACGGTCATTAAGGACCTTCATGATGGTGAGCGGGTCCAGGTAAAACTAAGTGGACGGGAGTCAGAGCCATTTCCTGTATACCTTGGGGTGCGACAGGGATGTCCTCTGGCTCCCACATTATTTAACATTTTTTCGACCACGTCGTTCGTGAAGCCTTCGATGGGTGTACCGGAGGAATTTCCATCTGGTACAGATATAATGGGAGGCTGATCGATGCCCGGGTGCAGTGAAGGGATGACTCCCTATTGGTCAATCACGTTATGTATGCCGATGATCTGGTAATTGCTGCCACTAAGAGATGGGGCCTTACCATCAGCCTGAGGAGCTCACAAATCCTTGAAAGATCTGGACAAAGTCCCATCGGTGAGCTCCTCTGGCAGGCAAGGCTGCGTTGGCTGGGTCATGTAGCCTGCATGCCCAGTCACCGAATGCTTAAACAGCTTTTCTTCGGCTGGATAGAGGGGGCTATCGGGTGCAGCACGAGCTAGAGAAGAGATGGAGTGATGTGGTACAGGAGGACGTGGAGCTGAGTGGACTTGCCGATGACTGGTACCAGCGGTGTCAAGATCGGCCTCTGTGGAGGAGGCTCGTGAAGGACGCTACTGGGCAGTTGGAGGCAGTCGCCCTCCAACAACAACGGAGGGCGGAGGAGTGACACTCACAACAACGAGCGGAGCGCCGGGTGGCTAAAGCGCAGCAGGTTGGCACAGTAGGGGGCACAGGTGGTGCATCAGCCAGTCATCTCAGTTATCTCAGTCAGTCGATCCGTGGCACCTGGGTCTGCCCCGTGACCTCCTGCCAGCGGGCGTTCGACACTTCACGTGGCCTCAAGGTGCACATAGCCTGGCACAAGCGTCGTGGTGACGTTACCGTCACTTGGTGGCGAATGGCTGTTGTTGTTGTGTGCATGTGTGTTTGTGTGCATGTGTGTGTGCGTGTGTGTGTGCGTGTTTGTGCGCGCATGCGTGTTTGTGTACATGTGTGTTTGTGTGTGTTTGTGTGCGTGCGTGTTTGTGTACATGTGTGTTTGTGTGTGTGTGTGTTTGCGTGCGTGTTTGTGTACGTGTGTGTGTGCGTGTTTGTGCGTGCGTGTTTGCGTACATGTGTGTTTGTGTGTGTGTGTGTGTGTGTTTGTGTGTGTGTGTGTGCGTGTGTGTGTGCGTGTTTGTGTACATGTGTGTGTGTGCGTGTTTGTGCGTGCGTGTTTGCGTACATGTGTGTTTGTGTGTGTTTGTGTGCGTGCGTGTGTGTGGCTGTGCGTGCGGGCACCCTGCACGACGAGGGTGGCGGTGCTGCTGGTGACGCCGTAGGCGTTGGCCGCGTGGCACAGGAAGGTGCCCTGGTTGGCGTGCTGGGCCCGCACCACACGCAGCTCCGAGCCGCTCACCTGCACGTTCTCTGAGCGCGCCGCGACAACCACAACAACCACATCAACCACGTCAACCACAACCACGTCAACCACATCAACCACAACCACAACCACGTCGCAACAACCACGACAACCACATCAACCACGTCAACCACAACCACGTCGCAACAACCACGACAACCACATCAACCACATCGCAACAACCACGACAACCACATCAACCACAACCACATCGCAACAACCACATCAACCACAACCACACCGCAACAACCACGACAACCACATCAACCACACTGCAACAACCACGACAACCACACAAACCACGTCAACCACAACCATATCGCAACAACCACGAAAACCACATCAACCACACTGCAACAACCACGACAACCACATCACACACCGCACACTGGAACATCAACAAGAACCAGATCACACGCAACACACCACATCAACCACATCACACACCACAACAACCAAATCACACGTGGATATGAATGTAATTTTTGGTGGTTGTCCTGGTGGTTGTCATTGTGGTGGCTGTAGTGGTGGTTGTGGTGGAGGTGGCAGTGGTGGTGTTTGTGGTGGTTGTGATGGTGGTGTTTGTGGTGGGGGTTTTGATGGTGGTGTTTGTGATGGTGATGTATGTGGTGGTGGTGGTGGTTGTGATGGTGGTTGTGGTTGTTGCGGTGGTGGTTGTGGTGGAGGAGGTGGTGGTGGTGGTTGTGATGGTGGTTGTTGCGGTGGTGGTTGTGGTGGAAGAGGAGGTGGTGGTGGTGGTTGTGGTGGTGGTGATGTTTCTGGTGGCGGTTGTGATGGTGGTTGTGGTGGAGGAGGTGGTGGTGTTTGTGGTGGTTGTAATGGTGGTGTTTGTGGTGGTGGTGGTTTTGATGGTGGTGTTTGTGATGTATGTGGTGGTGGTTGTGCTGGTGGTTGTTGCGGTGGTGGTTGTGGTGCAGGAGGTGGTGGTGGTTGTGATGGTGGTGTTTGTGATGGTGGTATTTGTGGTGGTGGTTTTGATGGTGGTGTTTGTGATGGTGAAGTATGTGGTCGTGGATGTGATGGTGGTTGTGGTTGCTGCGGTGGTTGTTGCGGTGCAGGAGGTGGTGGTGGTTGTGGTGGTACCCGGGAAGGGCTGCTCGTTGGTCGTTCTCCACTCGACGCTGATTGGCTGCGCTCCGCCCTGCACCTGGCAGGAGAACTGCACGTTGTCGTTGTGCTGCACCGTGACGCGGCTCGAAGGCTGCACCTTCACCCGCGGGATCTCCTCGCCTGCACCGACACAACCACCATCAACAATACCAACACCACCAACACCATCACCAAGACCAACACCACAATCAACACCAACACCACCACCAACACCACCACCAACACCACCACCAACAACACCACCAACAACACCACCAACAACACCACCAACAACACCACCAACAACACCACCAACAACACCACCAACAACACCACCAACAACACCACCAACAACACCACCAACAACACCACCACCAACAACACCACCAACAACACCACCAACAACACCACCAACAACACCACAACCAACATCACAACCAACATCCCCAACACCACCAACAACACCACCAACATCACCACCAACACCAAAATCACCACAACCAACATCACAACCAACAACAACACCACCAACAACACCACCAACAACACCAACACCATCACCAAGACCAACACCACCAACAACACCAACACCACCACCAACACCACCACCAACACCACCACCAACACCACCACCAACAACACCACCAACAACACCACCAACAACACCACCAACAACACCACCAACAACACCACCAACAACACCACCAACAACACCACCAACAACACCACCAACAACACCACCACCAACAACACCACCAACAACACCACCAACAACACCACCAACAACACCACCAACACCACCACCAACACCACCAACACCACCAACAACACCACCAACAACACCACCAACAGCACCACCAACAACACCACCAACAACACCACCAACAACACCAACACCATCACCAAGACCAACACCACCAACACCACCACCAACACCACCACCAACACCACCAACAACAACACCACCATATAGCCTTAACAGACTGTAGGGGCAAGTACTGTTAGCGAGCACCTATGAAGGCCGGAACGGTACACGAGGGGGTGGGTGGCCAGCACCACGCCCGACCGCCTTTGTCTCCCTAGTGGCGATGTTTACACACCGCACCAGGTACTCATTTGAGGCTGAGTCGACATAGGGGAGGCCCGGGACCGGTTCATATAATCGTCACTGGTGTTGGCCATGAGCAGGAATCGAACCCGGGTCGCCCGGTTCATAGCGCAGAGCACTAACCGCTACACTATCGCTCCCCTCCAACAACACCAACAACACCACCATCAACCAACAACACCAACAACACCTCCAACAACACCACCATCTAGTAATAGGTTTTAACCTTTTAACTGGCACAAAAACTGACACCTTTATTCAAGGCATCATGTTTGCAATAACCACAACACAAGCAGCCAACACCAGTGTAAACTAAGGGCTCTAAGAAAAGCTGTCTCGGGTGTGGACCAATCAAATTCAAGGACAGTGCATATTATTATCAGAGTTGTCTCTTTTGTTTGCATTTTGACTGCTTGTGTTGTGGTTATTGCAAACATGATGCCTTGAATAAAGGTGTGAGTTTTTGTGCCAGTTAAAAGGGTAAAACCTATTACTATATCTTGTTACTGGAAAAGGAGGTCTCATAATGTAAACACCACCATCAATAACACGAGGGAGGCACCGGCGTAGCTGACGAGGGTGTGTGTGTGTGAGTGTGTATGTGAGTGTCCGGCAAAAACAACCCCCTACCTACTCGTGGTGCCGGACGGCAACGCTGTGGTGGGCAGTGCCATGGGGGGAGGGCCAATTTAGATTGGCCATTCCCCTCATGGCGTCTGTAACCACCACAGCGGCCAAATGTGGGCTCTGGATGGGTGCGAGGGGCTGGTGACCCCTCCACCTGCAATTAATTATCACTAAACTACGAGTTTAGTGGCCTCTGTGGAGGAGGCTTGTGAAGGACGCTACCGGGCACTTGGAGGCAGTCGTCCTCCAACAACAACAGAGGGCGGAAGAGCGACGCTCACAACAACGAGCGGAGCGCCGGGTGGCTAAAGCACAGCAAGTTGTCACAGTCATCTCACTCAGTCGACCCGTGGCACCTGGGTCTGCCCCGTGACCTCCTGCCAGCGGGCATTCGACACTTCACGTGGCCTCAAGGTGCACATAGCCTGGCATGTCGTGGTGACGTCACCGCCACTTAGTGGCGAATGGCGGTTGTTGTTGAGTGTGTGAGTGTGTAGCGGTTAGCGCTACGCTGCGCTATGAATCTGGCGACCCGAGTTCGATTCCCACTCACAGCCAACACCAGTGACGATTATCTGAACCGGTCCCGGGCCTCCCCTGGGTCGACTCAGCCTCCAATGAGTACCTGGTGCGGTGTGTTAAACATCGCCACTGGGGAGACAAAGGCGGTCGGGCGTGGTGCTGGCCACCCACCCCCTCGTGTACCGTTTCGGCCTTCACAGGTGCTCGCTAACAGCACTTGCCCCTACAGTCTGTTACAGGCTATACGGGGGATCCTTGTCTTTGTGTGTGAGTGTGAGTGAGTGGGGACCTCACGTCTGGACTGCTCCACGGAGGAGCCGGGCCCGCCGGTGTGTGACACGGCGACGGCGACGGTGGAGGAGGCGAGGGGCCGCCCGTGGGGGTCGAGCGCCGTGCAAGTGAAGTCGCCCGCGTCCTCCGCGGAGGCCCCCACGATGTGCAGCACGCTGCCAGACACCTGCACGCGCGCGTGTGCATGCGCGCACACATGCACGCACGCGCGTGTACACACGTGCACACGCCCACACACGCACATGCACGTGTACGCACACACACAGACAAGCACGTTAATGCACATCGCTAACAACAACCGCCATTCACCAGTAAATGGCGGTGACATCGCCACGGTGCTTGTACCAGGCTAGGTGCACTTTGAGGCTCGCTGACATGGTTTTACTGAATGAGATGACTGGCAGATGCACCACTCACTCACTCCCTCACTTACTCACCCACTCACTCACCCACTCAGTCACCCGCTCACTCACTCACCCAGTCACTCATACACCCACCCACTCAGTCACCCACTCACTCACCCACTCACTCACCCACCCACTCACTCACCCACTCACTCACCCACTCAGTCACTCACTCATTCACTCACCCACTCCGTCACCCACTCACTCACTCACTCACCCACCCATCCAGTTACTCATTCACCCACCCACTCACTCACCCACTCACTCACCCACTCACTGACTCATTTACCCACCCACTTACTCACCCACTCACTCACCCACCCACTCACTCACCCATCCAGTTACTCATTCACCCACCCACTCACTCACCCACTCACTCACCCACTCACTCACTCCCTCACTTACTCACCCACTCACTCACCCACCCACTCACTCACTCACCCATCCAGTTACTCATTCACCCACCCACTCACTCACCCACTCACCCACCCACCCACTCACTCACCCGCTCACCGACTCATTCACCCACCCACCCACCCGCTGGTTGCTGGCTAGCTGGCCGTGCGCCCTCTCCCACGACACGCGTGCCTCCGTGCCCCCGTGCGCCGCGCAGCGCAGCGCCACCGAGCCCCCCAGCGGCACCGTCGCGGAGGGGGGGTCGATCTGCACCACGGGGAGGCGGCGCCCGGGCGACGTCGTGGGTGGGGGGCCGGGGGGGGGCAGCAGCGGCACCGCCCCACCTGGTGAGAAGGGGGGGGTGGGGGAGGGGGGGAAGAGGTTGGGGGGGGGCGGACGGGAGGAAGGGGGGGGTCAGTGAGAGGTCGTCGATGCTTCATCACCGATGAGATCCGGATGTCCGGTAGGGACTCGGTCGGGAAGTTACAATGAACAAAGAATAGAAAACAACGATAGGAGTCCAAAGTGTAGGGCAGGTAAGCAAATCACGAAGGCATAGCCGCAAAACAACGGCAAAACACGGCCCCAGAGCACACCAAGACAACACACAGCCACAGCCCCTCTCAATACAACTGCACATTCAAGTCGCAGCTTTTCCGATGGAAGTTCACATTCGCGAATGCCACGTGCCCCGATCCTGCGATCCTGCGACGGCGCATCGAGAGCCTATATCACGATCGTCGATCGCTCAGCGCGGAGGCATCAGTGCCGCGTTCGACACTCGTGCCCCGCAGCAAGAGGCGCCTGGGTTCGATCCCTGAGTCGGGCCCTCCGTCCGTTCTCTCTCGCCCTGTTCGATGTCGGCTTCCCCGGGGGGCCCTGCGGTTCCCTCCGCCCGCAGCTTCGCAAACAAACCCACGAAGCGTTCACGCAGAGTGGAACCGGTGTCGGCACAAATCCGACCTCCCCGAATGCTCAAAAATGGCCGGCAAATAACTCATCGCGCGCAGGGCCACCGGCACGATACCCTCCGCTCGGATCGTTGGTCTCGCCACGCTCGCGCCGACGGCACCGTCGGGGGGCGCTGGGGGGGGGGGTGTAGGGGGGCCACTCACCGGGCCGCACGGCCAGCTCTATCCTCGCCTCGGCCGCCCCGGCCGCGCTGGACGCCACGCAAACGTACGCGCCGGCGTGGGACGCGCGCACCGCCGGCAGCACCAGCGTCCCCACGCCCGTCACCTCCGTCAGTGCCTACGGGGGGGGGGGAGGGGGGGTCGGCACGGGGTCGCGCGGGGGAGGTGGCGGGGAGGAGGGGCGCGGGGGAGACGCGGGGGTCAGCTGGGGTCAACACGGGGACGCACGCGGGGTCACGCGGGGTCCACGTCGCACAAACGGGACCCGCGCCACGCGGGCGCGGGTCCTCGGCGCCGTGGCAAGCGAGCACGCCCGCCGCACGCTTGCCCAAGGTGTCCGTGCCACGGCGGCTTGCCGGCTCGTGCGGTGCATGCGCCCGCGGCCCTAACCCCGTCCCCCGCATGCAAAGCGGCGGCGGCGGGGTCCGGCTGGGAGCCCCGGGCAGGGGTGCCGGGCCCATCGGGGCCGGCCGGACACCGCGAGCCCCCCCCCCCCCCTCCTCCGCTGCGGAGTCTCCACCCCTGGCCGTGCTCCCCCTCGTTGCGGTAAAACCCGGAGGCGGCGGCGGCCGCTCTCCGGGTTTCACCCGGCGCCGTTCGGCGGGATGTCCGGAACGTCGGCGCGGGATTGACGTGGCGCGGACGGCAGGAGAGCCGTCGCCTCGGGCTGCGGTTAATCTGCGGACCTCCTTGCGGCTATCCCCGCGGCGTCGCCCCTCCGACGCCGTGCGCCGTGTGACGCGCGGCCTCGGGCGCCGGCACGCACGGGGACCGACGCATCAACGAGAGCGCCGGAACGCGCGGCGTAGAGGTCGCGGGGACGGAGTCGCGGCCCGGTGAGAGACAGCTGCCGATTCACAGCGGAGGGGAGGGAGAGATGGAGCCGTGTAGCGCCGCCGCATGCCGTCCAGTTTGGCAGCCACTGGGTTTTTTTCGCCGCTGCACGTGCCGGCACTGTAATCGAGACTTCGGAGGAATTGTGCAAAAACCCCCCCACCAAACACCCTCCCCCCCCCCCACCGCAAATGCCCCTTTGCCCCCTTGCCCTGCCCCATCCGCCACGAGGTCTCACCCGCACCTGGTTCTCACGGTGCAGGAGGTGAACGTGAGCTAGACTGTCACGCCTACCCACGGGGATGAACCCCCTAAAGGGCAGCACCTGGGGTACAGGGGGCAGTAGGGTACGGGGGAGAGGGCGGTGGGGAGAGGGTGGTGGAGGAGTAGAGGAGTGCACAGGAGGAAGGGGGAGAGATGGGTGGAGGAGAGAGCACAGGCAGAGTTGACAGTGATGGACAATGGTCTGGAGGGAGAGAGAGTTAGTGTCGAACTGGTAGAGTGGAGTGGAGTGCAGGAGGCGTTGCTCAACCCGGAGGATGGGGCGAGAAAGTGGAGGTGCCCTCATCCTGTGGAGCAACTCACAGGGGTGGAGGAACTCTCACGGCGGAGTGAGTCTCACGGCGGAGTGAGTCTCACGGCGGAGCGAGTCTCACGGTGGAGCGACTCTCACGGCGGAGCGACTCTCGCGGCGGAGCGACTCTCACGGCGGAGCGAGTCTCACGGCGGAGCGAGTCTCACGGCGGAGCGAGTCTCACGGCGGAGCGAGACTCACGGCGGAGCGAGTCTCACAGCGGAGCGAGTCTCACAGTGGAGCGAGTCTCACGGCGGAGTGAGTCTCACGGCAGAGTCTCACGGCGGAGCGAGTCTCATGGCGGAGCGAGTCTCACGGCGGAGTCTCACGGCGGAGCGAGTCTCACGGCGGAGCGAGTCTCACGGCGGAGCGAGTCTCACGGCGGAGTCTCACGGCGGAGCGAGACTCACGGCGGAGCGAGTCTCACGGCGGAGCGACTCTCACGGCGGAGCGACTCTCGCGGCGGAGCGACTCTCACGGCGGAGCGAGTCTCACGGCGGAGCGAGTCTCACGGCGGAGCGAGTCTCACGGCGGAGCGAGTCTCACGGCGGAGCGAGTCTCACAGCGGAGCGAGTCTCACAGCGGAGCGAGTCTCACGGCGGAGTGAGTCTCACGGCGGAGTCTCACGGCGGAGCGAGTCTCACGGCGGAGCGAGTCTCACGGCGGAGTCTCACGGCGGAGCGAGTCTCACGGCGGAGCGAGTCTCACGGCGGAGCGAGTCTCACGGCGGAGCGACTTTAAAGGGTCAGAGAGCATGGGCAGTTTCACACACACACAGGTCAGGTGAGACAGTGATGGATAGGACAGGTGAGACACTGATGGACAGGTGAGACAGTGATGGATAGGTGAGACAGTGATGGATAGGTCAGGTGAGCCAGTGATGGACAGGTGAGACAGTGATGGATAGGACAGGTGAGACAGTGATGGACAGGACAGGTGAGACAGTGATGGATAGGACAGGTGAGACAGTGATGGATAGGACAGGTGAGACAGTGATGGACAGGACAGGTGAGACAGTGATGGACAGGACAGGTGAGACAGTGATGGATAGGACAGGTGAGACAGTGATGGACAGGTCAGGTGAGACAGTGATGGACAGGACAGGTGAGACAGTGATGGACAGGACAGGTGAGACAGTGATGGATAGGTGAGACAGTGATGGACAGGACAGGTGAGACAGTGATGGATAGGACAGGTGAGACAGTGATGGACAGGTCAGGTGAGACAGTGATGGACAGGACAGGTGAGACAGTGATGGACAGGTGAGACAGTGATGGACAGGACAGGTGAGACAGTGATGGACAGGTGAGACAGTGATGGACAGGACAGGTGAGACAGTGATGGACAGGACAGGTGAGACAGTGATGGATAGGACAGGTGAGACAGTGATGGACAGGACAGGTGAGACAGTGATGGACAGGACAGGTGAGACAGTGATGGATAGGACAGGTGAGACAGTGATGGACAGGACAGGTGAGACAGTGATGGACAGGACAGGTGAGACAGTGATGGATAGGACAGGTGAGACAGTGATGGATAGGTCAGGTGAGACAGTGATGGACAGGACAGGTGAGACAGTGATGGACAGGACAGGTGAGACAGTGATGGATAGGTGAGACAGTGATGGACAGGACAGGTGAGACAGTGATGGATAGGACAGGTGAGACAGTGATGGACAGGTCAGGTGAGACAGTGATGGATAGGACAGGTGAGACAGTGATGGACAGGACAGGTGAGACAGTGATGGATAGGTGAGACAGTGATGGAAAGGACAGGTGAGACAGTGATGGATAGGACAGGTGAGACAGTGATGGATAGGACAGGTGAGACAGTGATGGAAAGGACAGGTGAGACAGTGATGGATAGGACAGGTGAGACAGTGGGGAACAGGTCAGGTGAGACAGTGATGGATAGGACAGGTGAGACAGTGATGGACAGGACAGTTGAGACAGTGATGGATAGGACAGGTGAGACAGTGGGGAACAAGTCAGGTGAGAACGTGAAGGTCAGGTCAGGGGGATGGGGACAAGGGGGCTACTGTGAGAGGAGCGGCGTATAGGGGGAGGGGCATGGGGGGCTTCTCACCACCGCCGCACCTGTTGACGTCCTCGTGGAACAGGTGAGTGTGCAGTGTCGCTCAGTGCGGGGGTTAATGTCTCGCTGCGTTAGTGCTCCGGGTCGCTCCTGAACAGAGGTAGGTGGCACGTGACGAGAAGTAGCCACAGCCATTGCAAGGGGCATGGTGGATGTGCTGTGCTGGGTGGTGATCTATTATCTGGGTTATTGGCCTGGACACACCCGGCTGATATCAAGCCCTGTGCCTGTGTGTCCGTGTCTACGAGTGTGCGTGTGTGTGTCCGTGTGTGCGTGTGTGTGTCCGTGTCTACGAGTGTGCGTGTGTGTGTCCGTGTGTGCGCGTGTGCCCGTGGGTGCCCGTGGGTGCCCGTGTGTCTTGAGTTATGAGACTTCACCACGAGACATAGAGTGAAGGTTAGGGATAGATCGGGGTTAGGGTCAGTGTTAAGGTAGCGTCAGTGTTACAATCGGGTAAGGGTAGGGTAGTGTTAAGGTAGGGTCAGTGTTACAATCAGGGTAAGGGTAGGGTAGTGTTAAGGTAGGGTCAGTGTTACAATCAGGGTAAAGGTAGGGTAGTGTTAAGGTAGGGTCAGTGTTACAATCAGGGTAAGGGTAGGGTAGTGTTAAGGTAGGGTCAGTGTTACAATCAGGGTAAGGGTCGGGTAGTGTTAAGGTAGGGTAAGTGTTACAATCAGGGTAAGGGTAGGGTAGTGTTAAGGTAGGGTCAGTGTTACAATCAGGGTAAGGGTAGGGTAGTGTTAAGGTAGGGTCAGTGTTACAATCAGAGTAAGGGTAGGGTAGTGTTAAGGTAGGGTGAGTGTTACAATCAGGGTTAAAGTCAGGACTAAGGTTTGGGTCAGAATTAGAAGGAGTGTTTGGGCTGAGTTTTACATTATTGATTAGGGTTAGCGTTTGCATGAGGATTGGGGTTAGGAGAAGCTTAAGGTTAGAACTTGGGTCAGGGTTTGAGGTCACGGCTATAATCCAGGTTAGTCAGTTTAACACGTAGTAGGCTTTCATGACCAATATCACCCATTATACAGTTTTGTTTGGGTTAAATCACGTAAATATATAAATGTGTGGTTAACCCCGCCACCGCCCGGCATAGCCAATTAGCAAGGTTTGTCACGGAAACAGGAGTTCCAATGTTTCGTTCCTTACATTTTTAAGGAACAAAACATTTTATAAGGAACGAAACAGGAGGACTTCTACACAAATGTGGCTCTCGCCTGATGAAGGTAGTTGTAATTACTGGCAAAACGTCGTACTCAGATTGTAAATGTTGTGGCTTGGCTCTCTAACACACCAGTGTGCGGTACTAGTGACGAATTGGCACGTTCTGTTTACGTGACAAATCTTACAAACTGGGCTGTGTCGGGTAGTGGCGGGTTTAATGACACATTTAGATATTTACGCGATCTAACCCAAAAAACTAGTATTATTAAGAAATCCAGGTTAGTATTCGGGGTCAGGGGTCAGGATGAGGTTAGTGCTGGAATCTGGTCTCACACAATGCCCTGGAGCATGTGGCTGGGATCAAGGTTGGGATTACGTCCAGCGTGAAGGATCGGAGCCGGGGTGAAGGGTCGGGCTGAAGGTTCAGGGTCAGGGTGAAGGGTTTGTGTCGGGGTGAAGGCTTGGGGTCAAGGTGAAGGGTCACGGTGAAGGGTTGGGGTCGGGGTCAGGGGTTGGGGTGAAGGTTGGGGTGAAGGTTGGGGTGAAGGGTCAGGGTCAAGGGTCGCGGTTGGGGTGAAGGCTTGGTGTGAAGGTGAAGGGTCGGGGTAAAGGCTTGGGGTTAAAGGTCGGGGTGAAGGGTCGGGATGAATGGTCGGGGTCGGGGCCTCACCTCGGCGGGGAGGGCCCCGTCCTGCCGGCGCCAGGTCAGCGTGGGCTTGGGGTCCCCGGTGGCGCGGCAGTAGAGCTTCACGTTCTCTCCCTCGACGGCCTCCAGGTGCGACGGGTGCACCTCCACCACAGGGGGGCTACCCGTGCCTACCACACAAAGACAAAGATCCCCCACGTAGCCTTTTGGCGGACTGTCGGGGCAAGTGCCGTTAGCGAGCGGCACCTATGAAGGCCGGAACGGCGCACGAACGGGCGGGTGGCCACTAGCGCCTTGCCCGGCCGCCTTTGTCTCCCCAGCGGCGATGTTTACACATCGCGCCAGGTGCTCATTTGAGGATGCTTTGACCTATAGGGAAGGCCCGGGACTAGTTCAGATAACCGTCACTGCTGTTGGTGGCCGTGTGCGGGAATTTAATTTGGGTCGTCGGGTTCGTAACGCAGCACGACCGCTCTTATCACCTAACACACACAAAGATCCCCCATATAGCCTTAACAGACTATTGGGGCAAGAGCTGTTAGCGAGCACCTATCTAGGCCAGAATAACACATGAGGGGGTGGGTGGCCAGCACCACGCCCGTATACCCCAAACCGAACACACATTCGACTTAAGAAGTTCTTGGCAAAATCGAAATCTCCTCCCTCTGAATATCGACATCGAAAATCCCACCGCCACTGCTGGGGCGGAGAACACCACGCCCGGCCGCCTTTGTCTCGCTGGTGGCGATGTTTACACACCGCACTAGGAACTCATTTCAGGCTGAGTCGACCACCACCATCAACAACCACAAAGGCATCAACACCGCAACCAAAACACCACCCATAACTGCCGAGGTCTCCACCAACAACTTCCACAACCAGCAGAAACACATCACCACCACCACCACCACCCATGTTCCCCACGTGTGATCCCTGGGCCCCCGCGTCTCCCTGTTCCCGTGTCTCCGTGAGCCTCCCACGCGACTCCCATTGTCCCCTTACCTGCCCGTGCAACCCCCCCCCGCCCCCCACGTCCACGTGTTCCCAAGCATGCGTGCCCCGTGTCTCCGTGCCAACCCGAATGCACGTTGAACTTCTTCTGCACACCGTACTGTAGCCAACCGTGCTAATCGGAGGTGCGGGGGAAGCACAACAAACTAAACACAAAAAACAGTCCTAAAGAAGTGAGTTTTCAATCGAGATGTTTTCAAAGTTGCGTAGCTCCCAGTGGCTTTCTAATATCGGAAGGGGAAGAGCGTTCCAGACGGCCGCAGAAGCGCATCCGAAAGCGCCGCGCGATGCGGTGACCGCCGCCGTCTTTCACGGCTAGCCCAGGGGTGGGCAGCCTGCGTCTCCGGAGATGAGCGCTGCTCTTCAAGGGCCACCTCGTCACCGTTATTTATTCATTCAGGACTCACCACCGTCCCGTATCCTCCGCGTGGCATTGCGGCTCTTGAAATATTTGCGGGGTTTTATTTTTAACCGAATTCTAAAAAAAATTTCTCTCGTTGTTGTTTTGGTTGCCGGCCCCCCCGCGCCCCCCCCCCCCCCCCGGGGATAGCCAAAGAACCACGGCGCTTGCCACCACCTCGAAACCGCCACCACCACCACCGTGCCCCCCACTCCTCTCCCGCCCCCCCCCCCCCCCACCTCGGACGTAGAGCACCGCGCGGCCCTCGGCTTGCCCGCCGGCGCTGTGCGCGCGGCACGCGTACTCGGCCTCGTGGGCGCGCTGGGCCGCGGGGATCGTGAGCATGGGGCCGAGCACACGTACCCCGGGGGCCAGCGCCATGGAGCCGCCCGGGCCTCCTGTAAACAACAACATCATCGTCAACGTCATCATCATCATCATCGCCAAGACCACCGCCAATGCCATCAACATCATCGTCAACATCATCATCATCATCGCCAAGACCACTGCCAATGTCATCAACATCATCGTCAACATCATCATCATCGCCAATATCATCAACATCATCGTCAACATCATCACCATCGCCAAGACCACCGCCAATATCATCAACATCACCGTTAACATCATCACCATCGCCAAGACAACCGCCAAAATCATCAACATCACCATCGCCAAGACCACCGTCAATATCATCAACATCACCGTCAACATCATCATCGTCAACAACATCACCGTCAATATCATCAACATCACCGTCAACATCATCATCATTGCCAAGACCACCGTCAGTATCATCAACATCATCGTCAACATTATTACCAAGACCATCATCTTCAATAACATCATCACCACAACCATCAACATTATCACTGTGAACATCACTGTTAACGTAGTGTGTGTGTACATAGTGTGTGTACGTAATGTGTGTGTGTGTACGTAGTGTGTGTGTACATAGTGTATGTAATGTGTGTACGTAGTGTGTGTGTACGTAAAATGTGTACGTAGTGTGTGTGTACGTGGTGTCTGTGTACGTGGTGTGTGTGTGTACGTGGTGTGTGTGTGTACGTGGTGTGTGTGTACGTGGTGTGTGTGTACGTGGTGTGTGTGTACGTGGTGTGTGTACGTGGTGTGTGTGTACGTGGTGTGTGTGTACGTGGTGTGTGTGTGTACGTGGTGTGTGTGTACGTGGTGTGTGTGTGTGCACGTGGTGTGTGTGTACGTGGTGTGTGTGTACGTGGTGTGTGTGTGCACGTGGTGTGTGTGTGTACGTGCTGTGTGTACGTGGTGTGTATGTGCGTGTGTGTGTACGTGGTGTGTGTGTGTGTGTACGTGGCATGTGTGTGTGTACGTAATGTGTGTGTGTGTGTACGTGGTGTGTGTGTGCACGTGGTGTGTGTACGTGGTGTATGTGTGTGCACGTGGTGTGTGCGTATACGTGGTGTGTGTGTACGTGGTGTGTGTGTACGTGGTGTGTGTGTGTGCACGTGGTGTGTGTGTGTACGTGGTGTGTGTGTGCACGTGGTGTGTGTGTGCACGTGGTGTGTGTTTGCTCGTGGTGTGTGTGTGCACGTGGTGTGTGTGTGTACGTGGTGTGTGTGTACGTGGTGTGTGTGTACGTGGTGTGTGTCTGCACGTGGTGTGTGTGTGCACGTGGTGTGTGTGTGCACGTGGTGTGTGTACGTGGTGTGTGTGTGTGTACGTGGTGTGTGTGTGTACGTGGTGTGTTTGTGTACGTGGTGTGTGTGTGTGCTCGTGGTGTGTGCACGTGGTGTGTGTGTGCACGTGGTGTGTGTGTATGTGGTGTGTGTGTGTACGTGGTGTGTGTGTACGTGGTGTGTGTGTACGTGGTGTATGTGCACGTGGTGTGTGTGGGTGTGCTCGTGGTGTGTGTGTGCTCGTGGTGTGTGTGTGCACGTGGTGTGTGTGTGTACGTGGTGTGTGTGTACGTGGTGTGTGTGTACGTGGTGTGTGTGTGTACGTGGTGTGTGTGTGTACGTGGTGTGTGTGTACGTGGTGTGTGTGTACGTGGTGTGTGTGTGTGCTCGTGGTGTGTGTGTGCTCGTGGTGTGTGTGTGCACGTGGTGTGTGTGTGTACGTGGTGTGTGTGTACGTGGTGTGTGTACGTGGTGTGTGTACGTGGTGTGTGTACGTGGTGTGTGTGTACGTGGTGTGTGTGTACGTGGTGTGTGTGTGTACGTGGTGTGTGTGTACGTGGTGTGTGTGCACGTGGTGTGTGTGTACGTGGTGTGTGTACGTGGTGTGTGTGTGCACGTGGTGTGTGTGTACGTGCTGTGTGTACGTGGTGTGTGTGTGTGTACGTGGTGTGTGTGTGTACGTGGTGTGTGTGTGTGTACGTAATGTGTGTGTGTGTGTACGTGGTGTGTGTGTGCACGTGGTGTGTGTACGTGGTGTATGTGTGTGCACGTGGTGTGTGCGTATACGTGGTGTGTGTGTACGTGGTGTGTGTGCACGTGGTGTGTGTGTGTACGTAGTGTGTGTGTGTGCACGTGGTGTGTGTGTGTGTGTACGTGGTGTGTGTGTGCACGTGGTGTGTGTGTGTGCTCGTGGTGTGTGTGTGCACGTGGTGTGTGTGTGTGTACGTGGTGTGTGTGTGTACGTAGTGTGTGTGTACGTGGTGTGTGTCTGCACGTGGTGTGTGTGTGCACGTGGTGTGTGTGTACGTGGTGTGTGTGTGTGTACGTGGTGTGTGTGTGTACGTGGTGTGTTTGTGTACGTGGTGTGTGTGCACGTGGTGTGTGTGTGCTCGTGGTGTGTGTGTGTGGACGTGGTGTGTGTGTACGTGGTGTGTGTGTGTGTACGTGGTGTGTGTGTACGTGGTGTGTGTGCACGTGGTGTGTGCGTGCGTGCGTCTCACCCGTCCACTCCACGACGGGCTGCGGGTTCCCCGAAGCCGAGCACCTGAACTCGGCCTTCTCCCCGACCCCGACCGTCAGGGACGCCGGCTCCACCACCACAAGGGGGGGCGACACGGCGCTCACTGCCGGGGGGGGGGGCATAGAGCGTGGGGGTGCACGGGGGGCATGGGGAGGAATGGCGGTCGCAGGGGGAGGCAGGGAGGGGGTGAAAGGTTACGCGGGGGTGGATTGGGGTCGGGGGGGGCATGATGGGGTCGGGGGGGGGGCATGATGGGGTCGTGGTTAGCGGAATATGGGGATAGAGGGTTGCGGAGGTGGGTAGGGTTAGGGAGTAAAAGGTTAGGGGCAGGGTTATGGGTAGGGGCAGGGTTATGGGTTAGGGGTATGGTTGTGAGTAGGGTTATGGGTAGGATATGGTTGTGAGGAGGGTTATGGGTAGGTTTTGGGTAAGGGTATGAGTAGGGATGAGGGTATGAGTAGGGTAAGAGTAGGGGTAGCGGTATGGGTAGGGTTATGAGTAGGGGTATGAGTATGGGTAGGGGTATGAGTAGGGGTATGAGTAGGGGTATGAGTATGGGTAGGGGTATGAGTAGGGGTAAGAGGAGGGGTAGGTGTAAGAGTAGGGGTATGAGTAGGGGTGGGGTAAGAGTAGGGGTATGAGGAGGGGTAGGGGTATGAGTAGGGGTAAGGGTATGAGTAGGGGTATGAGTATGGGTAGGGGTATGAGTAGGGGTAATAGTAGGGGTAAGAGTAGGGGTAGGGGTATGAGTAGGGGTAGGGGTATGGGTAGGGGTATGAGTAGGGGTAGGGGTATGAGTAGGGGTATGAGTATGGGTAGGGGTATGAGTAGGGGTAAGAGGAGGGGTAGGTGTAAGAGTAGGGGTATGAGTAGGGGTGGGGGTAAGAGTAGGGGTATGAGTAGGGGTATGAGGAGGGGTAGGGGTATGAGTAGGGGTAAGGGTATGAGTAGGGGTATGAGTATGGGTAGAGGTATGAGTAGGGGTAAGAGTAGGGGTAAGAGTAGGGGTAGGGGTATGAGTAGGGGTAGGGGTATGGGTAGGGGTATGAGTAGGGGTAGGGATATGAGTAGGGTAAGAGTAGGGGTAGCGGTATGGGTAGGGGGAGGGGTATGAGTAGGGGTATGAGTAGGGGTGGGGGTATGAGTAGGGGTGGGGGTATGAGTAGGGGTATGAGTAGGGGTATGAGTAGGGGTATGAGTAGGGGTATGGGTAGGGGTATGGGTAGGGGTATGAGTAGGGGTATGGGTAGGGGTATGGGTAGGGGTATGAGTAGGGGGTTGGGGTCCCCGTTACCCGTCGAGGCAGGGTGCGGGTTACGAGTTGGAGGGGCGGACAGCGGGGGAGGGGGGGGAGCACAGGGCGCAGAGTGAAACACGGAGGAGGCGAGGAGGCGAGTGACCACGCGCAATGGAACCTCGCCAAGCACGGCCACGCTTCGCTTGGCTGAACGTCCACAGCGAAGCCTCCGCGCCGCCTCGCCCCGCGGCGACTCCCACGGCTGCCAGTGCCGGTTTCTCCTCCTCGTGGCACAAGTAGCTGCACAAGTAGCACTATACATGTAGCTGCTTGTGGTACTTGTGTAGCTCCACAAGTAGCACGACATATGTAGCTGCTTGTGGTACTTGTGTAGCTCCACAAGTAGCACTAGTAGCTACATGTATAGTTGCACAAGTAGCACTAGTAGCTACATGTATAGTTGCACAAGTTACTACATATGTAGCTGCTTGTGGTACTTGTGTAGCTGTACAAGTAGCACTATATATGTAGCTGCTTGTGGTACTTGTCTAGCTCCACAAGTAGCACTATACATGTAGCTGCTTGTGGTACTTGTGTAGCTCCACAAGTAGCACTAGTAGCTACATGTATAGTTGCACAAGTCACTACATATGTAGCTGCTTGTGGTACATGTGTAGCTCCACAAGTAGCACGACATATGTAGCTGCTTGTGGTACTTGTGTAGCTCCACACGTAGCACTATATATGTAGCTGCTTGTGGTACTTGTGTCGCTCCACAAGTAGCACTATACATGTAGCTGCTTGTGGTACTTGTGTAGCTCCACAAGTAGCACTATACGTGTAGCTGCTTGTGGTACTTGTGTAGCTCCACAAGTAGCACTATATATGTAGCTGCTTGTGGTATTTGTGTAGCTGTACAAGTAGCACTATACATGTAGCTGCTTGTGGTACTTGTGTAGCTCCACAAGTAGCACTATACATGTAGCTGCTTGTGGTACTTGTGTAGCTCCACAAGTAGCACTAGTAGCTACATGTATAGTTGCACAAGTAGCACTATACATGTAGCTGCTTGTGGTACTTGTGTAGCTCCACAAGTAGCACTATACATGTAGCTGCTTGTGGTACTTGTGTAGCTCCACAAGTAGCTACATATGTAGCTAAACAAGTAGCTGCACAAGTCGCTGGAATTACCACTGAGATTAATGGGATTATTTGGTCTGGTGCGGGAGTAGCTGTAACCCCCATATCTGTAACCTCCTTCATCAGTTCCCTACCTTAATACAGACCAATTCAGACCTTATTGATCACCCCGTGCCCTTTATAAATCTCAACGTTCATCCCTACAAAGTCCCATCACAAGGGAGAAACATAAAAAAAACTATAGGAATAGGTTTTACCCTTTTAACTGGCACAAAAAAAACCTATTCCTATATCTTGTTTCTGGCAAAGGAGGTCTCATAATAAAAATACTTTTTTTTAATTCCCCTAATGAAACGGCTGTACGCCGTATAGACCTGGAAACTCAGTTTCCCTGTGCAAGGGGTTAAACCGTGTGGGTTGACACGGCATGGACCCCCATCGTTTAAATGGCAATGCCTCGCTCCAAGTGAATAGGTGAATCTTAGAGAGCCGAGCAATGTACTCCGGCGGAATGTGCAAGTTGTACTGTGTGTGCACTCCGGGCGTGTACACAATGCTTACAAAGAGCCCCACCACCCCGCATACACCACGCCCAGCCGCCTTTGTCTCCCCAGTGTACACACCACACCAGGTACTCATTTGAGGCTGAGATAATCGTCACTGGTTGCCGGCCGTGAGCGGGGATCGAACTTTGTTCGCCGGGTTCGTAGCCCGGGTCGCGCTAACCACTGTCACCCCATGCGGCTCAGCCGTATTCCTCCTGTACAGGGAATTGAGTTTGTGTCGATGTGTTGTTGGTGTTTATCCCTTGTGGTGGGACTTTGTAGGATGAACATTGAGATTTATAAGGGGCACGGGGTGACCAATGAGGTCTGAATTGGTGTGTAATGAGTTAGGAAGCACTGCTAAGGGGTTGACAGGTACGCACTCCACTATCGCTCCAAAACAAAGATCCCCCGTGTAGCATGTAACAGACTGTAGGGGCAAGTGCTGTTAGCGAGCACCTATAAAGGCCGGATCGGCACACGAGGGGGTGGGTGGCCAGCACCACGTCCGACCGCCTTTGTCTCCCCAGTGGCGATGTTTACTACACACCGCACTAGGTACTTATTTTAGGCTGAGTCGACCTAGGGGAGGCCCGGGACCGGTTCAGATAATCGTCACTGGTGTTGGCCGTGAGCGGGAATCGCATCCGTGTCGCGGGGTTCGTAGCGCTAACCGCTACACTACCGCACCCCACACACTCCACGAGGGTATGTGCTGGTTGTACACATGGCATGGCTGTGTGTGGCTGTGCGTGGCTGTGTGTAGCTGTGCGTGGCTGTGTGTGGCTGTGCGTGGCTGTGTACACCGGGTACGAGCAGGGGGTAGCCGGGCGACTGTGCGCACCCTGGCAGCCCCAGGGCCGCTCCACTCGGGGCCTGAGGTCACACCCAGGGGGATTGTGGGTAATCAGGTGAGGCGGGCTGCAGGTGTGAGGGAGGGGCGGGGCATGCGAGGGGGCGTGTCGTGGCGGGGTGGGGCCTGGGTGGGCGGGGTTAGTTGAGGGGGGTCCTCTCAGGTGAGACGGGCGACTGGAAGCGCGCGCGTGTGTCAGTGTGTGTGTGTCAGTGTGTGTATGTCAGTGTGTGTATGTCAGTGTGTGTCACTGTGTATGTCAGTGTGTGTCAATCTGTCAGTGTGTGTGTCAGTGTGTGGGGAGCGATAGTGTAGCGGTTAGCGCGCTGTGCTATGTACCCGGCGACACGGGTTCGATTCCCGCTCACGGCCAACACCAGTGACGATTATCTTGACCGGTCCCGGGACTCCCCTAGGTCTACTCAGCCTAAAAAATGAGTACCTGGTGCGGTGCATCGTGAACATCGCCATTAGAGAGACAAAGGCGGCCGGGCGCAGTTGCCGGCTACAGCGCCCTCTTTGCGTGCCGTGCCACGGCATTCATAGGTGCGTGCAGCACTTGCCCCAGATGTCTGCTAAAGCCGATACGGGGAGTCTTCGTCTTTTTGTAATGTTGGGATATAGGGGAGGCTGTGTGTGTGATGTTGAGATATATGGGTGTGTGTGTGTGATGTTGAGTTATATGGGTGTGTGTGAGGTTGAGATATATGGGTGTGTGTGTGTGATGTTGAGATATATGGGTGTGTGTGATGTTGAGATATATGGGTGTGTGTGTGTGATGTTGAGATATATGGGTGTGTGTGTGTGTGATGTTGAGATATATGGGTGTGTGTGTGTGATGTTGAGATATATGGGTGTGTGTGTGTGATGTTGAGATATATGGGTGTGTGTGTGAGGTTGAGATATATGGGTGTGTGTGTGATGTTGAGATATATGGGTGTGTGTGATGTTGAGATATATGGGTGTATGTGTGAGGTTGAGATATATGGATGTGTGTGTGTGTGATGTTGAGATATATGGGGGTGTGATGTTGAGATATATGGGTGTGTGTGTGTGGTGTTGAGATATATGGGTGTGTGTGTGTGATGTTGAGATATATGGGTGTGTGTGTAATGTTGAGATATATGGGTGTGTGTGATGTTGAGATATATGGGTGTGTGTGTGATGTTGAGATAAATGGGGGTGTGTGTGTGTGATGTTGAGATATATGGGTGTGTGTGTGTGTGATGTTGAGATATATGGGGGTGTGTGTGTGATGTTGAGATATATGGGGTTGTGATGTTGAGATATATGGGTGTGTGTGTGTGATGTTGAGATATATGGGTGTG